ACTCCATGGACTCGCTCAGTTACACCCCCTCTGCCTCTCCCCTCGCCGACATGGCAGCCGCACCCTATCATATCGGGTCCTCACTCGGGACATTAGCCCCATCGCCAATCTCAAGTTCGAGCAAAGAAATTGTCTCCCCAAAGACCAGAACAAGCGACTCCGAGACTGTTGTGCCTGCCACTGTTTCTTCCCGGAACGGTGGTCTGAGCCGTCCAGAGCTAAGTGGCAGTAGCTTAGAGCCTCGGAGTTCAAGCTGAGTGGCTAAATTCAAAGGCAAATCTCTCTCTCTCTCTCTCTCTCTACATATATATATAATCTCCTCACCCTTTCCTTTTGTTCTGGTTAAACATGGTGAACTCAGGAACATGAAACTGGTTTCTGGTTTTTGGGTCGACGGAAAGGGAATCGGAAACCGAAACTCCGGTCTCTGTGTTCACTGCTTTGGACATATCTCCTCTTAGGTCTCTCTGCCACGGCCATCTCTCTCTCTCTCTCTGTCAGTTTTTGGAGAGCGAGTAAATAATAAATGGCCTTTATTTACAGAAGCCCGATTCGTAGAAATCCACCCCCAGTTACTATTATTCTTTCGAAAGATTACTGAATCTGGTAACGAAGCTAAGCTTCCTAGCAAGAACAAGAAAGACTGCAGAAACGGATCTCAGGGGTAAAGTTTTTATTTTATTTATTAAAAAGAGATTCGGTTTGTAGAAATGTTATAAGATTCGGTTATCATTTCGAACCGAAGCATGAGAATGCTTCTCTCTTTTGTAATGAAATTATAATTTACTTCGTGGGTGGTTTAGTTTGCATTTTTTGTATTTATCGCCTTCGGATTTAAATCATCGTGCAAAATATTGCGAATTAATCGACGTAAAAAATGATTTAATCCGACATGGGAGAGCGTATAATTTCAAGAATCACTTCCACTGGGGCCATCGAATGGAGTCGGTGGAGCCATGGTTCGAACCAGAAGGGCTTGAGCCATTGGGAGAGTCATGCCACACCATCTCCATCTGTTTCAGACCACATCATGAGACATCCATCATAACAAAAAAACAAACAAACATGAACCCTAACTATCATCATTACACAAACCTCTCCGACAATAACTGTGTCGCCTTCTTTCACGCCCATGTTCATCAGTGTTTTGTTCACTCCACACGCCTCCAGCACTTGCTGGAATCTTTTGTCTGAATCCACGTACCTGTCAAGAACTCGGGTCCGATGATCGTTAAACTCTGTCGACAGATGGAAACATTTGTCGGGTTTTCCGGTTAACGAAGGTTCGGACCAGGAAGGTTCCTAACTGCCCTAAACCCTCGGGGATCTTCCAAACTGCGAAGTTCCAATATGGGCATTCTGGAAATGTTCCTCTTTGAAACTCCATGGCACAATTTCAACGAAAAGATCGAAACTTTTCACTACCAATTCGAGCTATCATTTTCGAAAACGGTGCTGAATTTTTAAGCCTTTGGATACGGAGATGGAAATGGACAGATGGTGAGAGAACGCACCGCCAATTTGTCATCTGAACGAACCGTTGCAGTCCAGCTCCTGTGACATGCCAAGTTCGGGTGCTCCGGTCATGTTCGATCTCAAACTCGTTGATTGCTGCTCGTCGCTGCATAGTTATCTTCTCGGCTACATGGTTCAGGTTCCAACTCGCTTTATCCGACCCACCTAAAACCCGAATCAGAAAACATCATTACGCCTAGATTCGGATAATCTGAAACCCGACATTCATATTTCAATTGTTGCCTAACCTTCGGCTTCTTTGTACTTCTTCAGGAGTTCATATGCAGCACAGATGACTTCATGTGTGCCGTTCTGTTGAACTGCACTCATGCAGAAGGGCTCGATCCCACGGGCTCGGAGCCTTTCCTCAAACAATGGCCACTTCTCGTATGCATCGGGTAGGTCCATTTTGTTGAAAGCCACGACGAAAGGCTTTTCAGATAGTTCGGGATTGAAGAGTTCCAGTTCGAGACGAACAGCTTCAAACTCCATTTCTGGTTGTGGAGCCGAACCATCCACGACATGAACCTTAACACACCAAAAGATAAGATCGAGGATATCAACCAGTACAAGAAAAAGTAAAAAATTCTTCAACTTTGGAAGACAATACAATACAATACCAGTGCCGAGCATCTCTCAGTGTGCCGGAGAAACTCATGGCCTAAACCGAAGCCCTTATGTGCTCCTTCGAGCAAACCGGGCAAATCTGCAACCACCATTGTAGAATCGTAGTCAAAAGAAACAACGCCAAGATTGGGAAGTAAGGTCGTGAAGGGGTAATTCGCTATGTTTGGCTGTGCAGCACTTATCACGCTCAGAAGTGTGCTTTTTCCGGCATTTGGTGCGCCCACTATCCCGACATCTGCAACAAGTTTCAGCTCCAGTTCCAGCCACCTAACACAAATCATGGGTATTAAGTAACAATCCAAATACGTAAATGCAGGTTTCAGCATTAGAACTTTGTGGAACAATGAGATCGTAACTATGAGCAATGGATCTGAGAGGGTTTCGTGCAGTTGTGCACCGGCATGAAAATATTGTGTAATGAGTAGTAACATTCAACATCTAAGACTATTCATCTACGAATTTAACGAAGGAACCAAAACTGATCCAAAAGTTTAAATAAATTCAGAATGAAGAACAGCACAACCACTACTAAGTGCAGAGTCTGTGAAGAAAGATTCAAGAAATCCTCATAGATTGCCAGAATTCTCAGTGTCCTAAGCAATTAGACTCTATCCGGAACTAACCCATCAACTAAAACCGATCCCCAAAACTCAAAACAACTTCAGACAGAACCAAACACACTCACATCTCTGGACCTTCCTCGCCGTTCTCAGCAATTCTTGGCGCCTTATTCGTTCCCGATTTAAACGAGGCATTCCCTCTCCCACCTCTCCCGCCAGGTAACAGCAATGCCCGTTGCCCGGGATTCAGCAATTCCAGAAGCACTTCCTCCTTTCCTGCCTCCCTCACCACCGTCCCTGGAGCCACCTTCACCACCACATCCTCTCCTTTGGCCCCATTCTGCATCTTTCCCTGACCATGTCCCCCTCTTCCCGCCCTGAAATGCACGCTGTTACGAAATGGCAAGAGCGAATTCATCGATCCATCCACCTCTACATACACATTTCCTCCTCTCCCACCGTCTCCTCCAGATGGGCCGCCTAAAGGAACATACTTTTCCCGTCTAAACGCCATTACGCCATTGCCCCCGTCCCCGGCTTTGACGTATATCTTTGCTCTGTCGAAACACCGCATTACCGCTGGCACACCTTTCTCCTTCGCCTCAATGCCTTCGCCATTAACTTCTTCTTCGGAGATATTTACCATTTCGCCATCCTCAAACCCTAATCTCCCACTGTCGTGATCTTCACTCTCGTTAGTAGCCATTGTTGTTTCATCAGTATAGTCGAACACCTCGTCTTCGTAGTCTTCATCTTCTTCATCCTCGTCATAAGAACCCGAGTTTCCTTCAAACACATCAGCCCTTCGGTAATTTCCCCAGATTTCCTCATCGTTTTCTGCATCGTTTTCTTCTTCTTCATTGTCATCATCGTCTTCTTCTCCCAAAAGTTCGATTTTTTTCTCGACCCTCGCAACATCGGACCCGGATAGCTTCACTTCTTCAGAGAACCCGATAGAAGAAGTTGGAAGAGGGAAATCGGAAAAATCTTCCCTGGGAGGAAGACGGGTATAGGTAGTGGCTTCGCCACCGGCGATGGGGGCGGGCTGAGGTCTATCGTCGTCGCGCGATTTTAGCTCGACGTGGCGATGGCGATTTCCATTTCTAGGGTTTCGGGTTCTACCAGGGACCTTAGCAGGCTTCGCGGAGATCTTCCGAATCCTGGGTCGAGCTAGAGCTTGAGGAGTGAACAAGAAGTTAATGGATATGGACGCCATTTTTTCGATGTTAGTTTCTCGGGAAAACGGGAGAAAATATCCAACGGGCTTTTGAGTTTTGCGGGTTTCTTCTTGCCACTTAAGGTATCAAACTGTAACCTTATAAACTTTTATGGAATTTTCATAATAAGTAGGGAGTTACGGGGGCTAAAGGGAAACTTTTGGTGAACTTTGGGGACTTAACAGCAGAAGGGGGAAACTCTGGCTGCCATGGAAGCTCTGGTTCGCTGTCGTCTTCGATTTTAGAGGTTAAAGTCTCCGACTGGATTCAGAGGCTAACGTTTCTGCTGCGTAGAATCGATTAAGGTTGTCGGGTTCTGCCTGATTCGACGATGTACAGCCTCGACACCTCGACGCAGATGAAAGAAAGTATTAAATCGAAATATGTCTTATAATCTCTCCAAGAAAATGTCTTTTTTCATATTTCTTGGTGAAAATCTGGTTCGAATATATAATGGAATCTTGGATATTACTTCGCAAATTCTGTACATTGTTCCAAACGTTCATAGGATTCGACACAGAATCAATCTTTGTCTCTTCTTAGACATGGAAAGGCTTTCTGGGCGTAGCTGCTCTGTTCTCCAGAGACTGTAACCTTTGCTTCAGATGAAACACCTCGACCTAAATCAAACCCATTAAACACAGAGATTAAGATTAAGATCTTTGTAAGAATGTCGGAAAAACACGAAACCAGAAGCCGAACCTGCAACTGGAACGCCCTCGCTCTTTCTCCTGCCAGAACTCCTCTTGTCGAATGCAACTCCTAATAAACACACGCAGCCAGAATCGATTCTGTTAACGAAACCCAGATCCCGAAACGGAAAAAAGTTTCGATCTTGTACACTTTTACCTTCTGGGTATCGTCGAGAACAGCTTTCAGAAACGCGACATCGTGCTCAAGCCTCACGTTATCCGAATGAACCATGTTTGACAAACTGTTCGCCTCCTCTTGTGCTAATTCTAAGCCTGTGAGCTTCTCCTTCATCAGCTCTACCTCTCTCATGGCGTCCGCTAGCTTTTTCTCCGTCTCTTGTTTGGTTCTCATAGCTACGGAAAGATTTCTCTCAGCTGCCTCACGTCCAGCCAATGCTGCTGTAAGCTGTCCCTCCAGAATTCCGTTCCTCCTTATAAGAGCCGCCATTTTCGCCTCGTGGAATTGGTAAACGCTGGACGATGATGCCAGACTGGTATCCGTCTCGAGGAATATCCCATCGGCGTTTTCCATGGGAAAGGTTTCGGGACATTGCTTCTGGAGGTTCGAGGAGAATTCACGGTCTGAGGACATGGAAGGCGTCTTCTCGGAGGTGATTTTATTAGCCCCGCCGCTGTTGTTGATGTGTGTTCTATCGTCCGCTGTCTGAAACAGACACAGGATTACAGATACGTTAACAAACACGAAACACAAAGCATTTGCATCCGAACGAAACAGGATATCCATAAGTACCCGAGGAAGAGGAAGTTCTTCTTCTTCAATTACCGCCCTGTATTCTTCTTCGTTGTTGAACTGTTTTCGCAGAGAGACATTTCCCGAGGATGGATTCTGATCAACGAATGCTATCTCAGACAAGGATCTGCGTCCCGAGCCGTGCTCCTCGATCGCTGAGGCGAGTTTCTGTCTAGCCACTGAATCAATCAGCCTCTGAGAAGAGCCTTTGCTCGGTTCATCGGCTAAACCTGCGGAGGACGAACGTTTCCCAAACAGACGACTACCGTGTTTTTTCTTCGCAGTTTGCGGACACACTGGAGATTCATTCTTGTTCTTGTCAACGATAAGGGCTTCAACCTTTCGATTCGGAAAAAAACAGAGAAATATCAAGCCTTTCGATATAAATAAACGATTCTAAGATGCAGAAAGTACCAAGAAAACCTGAGATTTTGGATAAGACGGTATAATGACCAAACCTGATACGAAGGCTCTTTTCTCGTTCCCCCGAACGCTACGAGGAAATCCTTGTCCTTGTGTTGCAGAAGAACCAGGCTAAACCCCTGTCGGAAATCGTAACAACATTCATATGGAAATTCGATTTCTGTAAACATCTAAACCCGAGAATCGCGCTTTCTCGTAGGGCACGATCAAGAATTACTTCTACCTTGTTCGCAGCAACGGAAGATTGAGACGACACGCTGGCTACAGACCACTCGGCTTTCAGAATGTCGAAGACTACTGTCTCCGGGTGCCCTGCCCAGACAAAAACGCAACAAATGGCTTAACAATATCTCGGGTACCCGAAAAAACTCATCTCGAGTATTTCGCTTACTCTTCTTCCTGCTTCCACCTCCAACTATGAACCATTTAGTCCCACAAAGGACTCCACAGCTACCCGCTCTAGGGGACGGGTGAAATCCCCGAATCTTTATTCTTGACCAAACCATCTGGTAGCAGAGAAAAAACCCGAGAAAGAGAAAACGACGGAGAAATATATTAGGCACGATAAGGATCAATGATTGTGAATTACTACTTAGCCAAGATAACATACAGTTTCAAAGTCGAGCGAGTACAAGTCATTCAGCGTTCTGTTCTTCGCTGATCCTCCGAAAACAAACAGGATCTTGTCGTCGAACAGCGTGGCTACATGGTTTGATCTCGCGCAAGGCCGTGTTCCTCTGTTTCAGTAAACCATGTCAATGACTGGAAATGCTATACTGGCTATGAGATCGAGCTTTCGATCATTCAAATCAGCTCGTTGAAGCAAAAGAACAGCGAAAACGGAATTTTAAAACGATGCGATTATTCAGTTTTCAGATGTTTCGATGAATATTACGTGCAATTGAGAGGAAGCCATGTTGAGGACTTGAGATCAAACATGTGAAGATCGTTTAGCTTCCTCTTCTTTGAATCCTCGCCCCCGAAAAGAATCAATACCGAACTTGCCCTCACCACTGTGTGACCACTTCGGGCAGCCTGCAGTTTTTAGTCTCCTGAGTTTCGAGATAAACTTACCTCACAAAAAAAAATCTCGAAAGCGGGATTCAGACCATGTCTAAATGCGGTTTGAGACTTATGACAGAAGTAGAACATACCGGTATTTCCCCTTTCGCCTCCATTAATGACCAACACTCCGAGTCTGTGTCAAATGCCCACACTGCACATATATAAACCCGATGAAGCGTAGTCCGTTTTTGGATCCATTACATAAGCCGAAAGAGTAACACAGACCGAAAAAAATCGAGACCTGAAACTCTATCGCTGCAAGGTTCAGTTTTCCCTCCAACCAGAAGCACTTTTTTACCCCAAGAAACCTGACAATGATTTTAGATTCAGACCAAGACAGAAACACAACTATCCATATTGGTTGAACCCAAAAACGTTTTCACTAGACCGATGAGCATTCGGGGTAACATCAAGAACCCGAAAGCATCAGGACCCGAACCTAGAACTACCGCTTCTCGAGACATTAAGTTCCAAGTGACATCACTGACCCGAGAAGCAAACTCTTAAAAAAATTTACGAGTTTAAATCACACTAAGAGCTAGAAAACAGACTCTTAAGACATTTCATTACACAAAAACAAGCATTTATGGTTAGGTAATACCGAGAAAACGAAAAAATGAGCTACGCACAAAGAGAACTAAAGGCTTTAAATTTAAGCTTCTTGCAAATACCAGACAGTGACCCTTCCATGCAGGGATCTTCAGAGGTAGACTGCTTGGTGATAAGTAAACCTTGGAAGAAGCCGCGGCCCATGTAAATGTATCAAAGTTCAGCACCTAAGCCCGAAAAAATCAATGACAAGAATCCGTCAAATAGCATATTAATCGATCATTGTTATGTATTTACTCGTTTACCGATATTTTACCTGTACATCGTCCAACAGGCCATTCCCGGATTCTCCACCAACTACTATCATTTTGTTCCCAATTGCTGCGGCTGCGTGCTATATAAAAAGGAAGCGTGTTTTTCTTTTTCACAAAGTTTGAAGATTTTGTTCGTTATACCGAACTTTGGACCGAGGAATCCGTACATTGAATCGGGGAGAAGGTTTCTCCCCGCCAACAGACAGCACCATCCAATTCTCTGCATTCCCTGGCGGGGACTGGAAGTCGAGTTCATCCGAGTGACGAGCTTCAGTTTCAGCACCTTCATTCTGCATCGTCATATTTTTCTTTACAACGAGATACATACATAATATATATACACACGTATAGATGTGTATATGCTGCTAGAAACACAAAGTAAGGAAGGTTCATAGATTTCTTACGGTAGAGTTGTTTACGCGTTTGGTCTGCCTCAAGGGACTCGCTCTACCCGAAGCAGAATCCGAAAGCTGCACCTTCTTAACTCTGATCAGTTACACCAATATTCAGAAACAGCAGCGTATCAGATCAAAGTATACTAAAAAACTAGATTGCACAAACAAGTTTGATGCTTGATCACACTGATATATGGGGAATAACCAATTGAATTGATATCCATTCTCCAAACAAAAAAAACTTTACAGGAGAAAGAAACATCCATTGCATGGTCCTGAATCAACCTAAAGATGCAACTTTAACAGGATCAAAGATTTGGGTGAATTGGGTAAGGCTGGGATGATTCAAAGGAGTGAGGAAAGCCCAGTAATCTGAACCAGAAAACTTATTACATGAACTTTTTGTAGTTACTGTAACACTAACTAGTAACGCTTTTTGAAAATGGAAAGAGAAGCAAAAAAAGTTCCAAACTTTCAGAAGAATCGATAGAGAAAAAGGTGATTAGGGAACTAACCTGCCAAGTTTGGTCCGCCTGCGAGAAAAGCTGAACATTTCGATCCAATGCTCGGAACCCTAAAAAAAGGAGAAACCCTAAAATTGCAGAGGTGAAAAAGCCGCATTATCAATCTTCTTACAATACCCAACAACGAGAAAGATGAAATTTCGGAGTGGAACAATATGAAGAATGATGCTCAATTGACGAATATCGCTCGCAAAATCTGGGCTAAGCAGAAATGTTAGAAGAGAATCCAGTAAGTGGGAGTAACTAAAAGAGCCATAGAAGAGGAGCTGACCCAAATCTGAGGAGACAACGAATCAACTGTACGCTAGCACCCTGTTTGGTTACGGAGAAAACCCAAGAAAACGGCAAGAAACAAGAAAAATGGGCGAGGGGATCAAGAAAACACAAGCCATATCCACACCACAACTAGAAACGAAGACGACGTACTCCGAGCACCAAACGACGTCGTAATGGGTCGTAAGCTGCAGCTGGGACAAGTCACGGGTTGATCGGGAGATTGAATGATTGATTTCCTTGCGGGATTATGTTTTTGTCCTTAATCGAAGATTAAAGAACAAAAATGGTGTCTTTAGCAGGAAAAGGACGAATCTTTTGGGAGATCTGGGCAAGTTTTACCGAACGAGTAGGTAGTAGAATCCAAACGGAGAGAGAGAGAGAGAAATGACCGTTGTGTTCTTGGAGTTATGGCGACATGTTTTGTCTGTTTCCGTAGAGTGTTCTTTGAGTTCGCCGAGATATTTAATGCGCGCGTCATAAACCCTGGGTCCCACCGTCGCTATTTCCCGCGAATTATTTAAATAATTAATAATACTGATACTGACAGTCATCTCGAATTTTGCTTTGATTTCGATGTCCGAGTCGAAATTATTTTGAAATATATATATATATATATATATATATATATATATATATATATTTTAAAATGCTAAAGAATAAGAAACCATACATTACTTGTATTTGTTGGATAGTTTATCAATAATATGTGAATCCTCCGTGAAGGAACACCTAATTTTATTAACAAGTTACGTGCAATTAGCACTGATTAATTACGATTGTAACCTGATTTCATATGTTTAAGCTTTTCGAGGAAGAACGTGAAGATATAAATCCTGTACATTAGAACATTTATCTGTTCAGGGAGGTCGAAAATATTTAAAATAAAATAAAATAAAAGATTTTTTAAATAAATAAATTTCTTTATTGTATTGACGCATGTTAAAATGTGTTGCTAAACATTTACGCAATATTACGCATGTCTACGATACAAATACAATATACTAAGGAAAAAGATATATTGACTGGTTTTATGTTTTTTAATATTTTTTCTTATCCATTTGTATTTTCTGATATAAAGGAAAAAGGTGAAGAGATTAAATAAATATAGCAAACAGAACTAACATAATTAGTAATTTATTCCATCAAAACAATTTAATTGTGATTTATTTGGTTAATAATTAAATAATCTAACCGATCCGAATAAAATATAATCCAACCGACTTTAAAAAGTATTAACCACATATATATACATATCGATGTTCCCTTGATCACCCATATATATATATATGATATAGTTAGTGTTATTGATTTCGTTTCATTGCTTAGATTATTCTTAAAATAGTTAAATTGCTAAAAAATAAAATTGTCAAACTTATATTTTCGTATTCATTCAGGCTATCTCACACCCATTTTCCCATTTTCTTTATATGCTCAACAAATATTTTTATTTGAATTTGTATAAACGTCTTTTTATTAGTTTTGGAATTTTTTTTTAAATTTAAAATTTAATATAATGAAAACATGGCGATAAAATTCAATTGGATTAATAGTATCGTATCATGTTTTTGCATGAGGAATATTATTCACGTAAAGTAAATCAAACATAAATTAATATTTCGTATGCAAATTCTCCGTATTGGTTATATATATATATATGTGTGTGTGTTCGTACTTTATTTTAGTTGTTTTAAGATTTGAATTTAAAAATTATGTCGGTTTTAATATTAGATCTCCATTCAATATGTAGTCAACTTTTTATTAAATAAAAAGATTTTGATTTTTTAAAATTATTTTATATTAAATTTAAATTCTTTACGAAATGATCATTCCATATGCATTATACACCATTTAAAAAAATACAAAGCTTTAAATATCATAAACAAATTTTTAATACTTTTTTAAGAATAGGAGTGAAAGAATATATTATAAATTAAGCGAAGGCAACATTATCTGTATAATAATCGTATTCGTATGTGTAAAATCCAAAAGAATAGAAGATTACGCATATCATTAAAAATTAACCTCACAGTTTAACGGATAATTATTCCCTTAATTTCTTTTTTTTTAAATTTTTTTTAGAAATCATTTAATTAAATTCCATTTCTTTTACCTTCCCTTCTCTTATTGCGTAGCACCCACATCATTTTTTTCCCTCGATTTGGTGATCCGCCTCTCGCCTCGATCTCTCTCTCCAAAGATCAGAGAGAGAGAGAGAGAGAGAGAGAGAGAGAGAGAGAGAGGAAGAGATGCGTTGAAAATGCTCGAAGCTGTTTTTCGATTTTATCCTCTGGGGGTACAGTGAATATTCAGGGATGTGCTGAGCAGAAGAGTTCCGATTCTCGAGTTCGATTTTTTGTCGGTAGGGTTTTTGAATTTCGATTGCTCGGAGGACTTGTCTTCGGATATGAGTGGGTGTTACCCGTGCTTCGGATCTTCGGCGAAGGACGGTGCTGCCCAAGAAACAGTGAGGAAGGACGCTTCAGCTAAAGACGGCTCAGTTGCTCAGTCCCACCATGCCAGCTCAGGTGAAATTCGCTTCACTTTCGTCAGTTTTTATGGTGGGATCTGTTCAATTTTCGTGTTCTAGATCGATTTGATATTTGGGTTTCTGAAAAGTCGGAGCCTTGATGATGATTTGCTGTCGTTTGGAACGAAATGTTGATGTTTCTGATCTCGTTCATCTATGACAGTTTCTGGAATTTTATGTCTGTGGAGTTTCTGGAATTTTTATTCCAGGTATCTTTTGAGTTTTGGCAGTTTCGGTTTGATTTGATTAATCCAGTTTCGAATTATGCTCTATCTCGTTCATAATTCTCAGGCGTAGATTCTAGATTGAAAGTGTGGTCAGTTCACCAGATATGGAGTGCATTAGGACATGAATAAAGAGAGTTCTGAATGCTATATGACAAGCCCAAGAATCATAAAAATGGAAGTTGTAAAGGTTTAAACTGATCTGGAGCTGAAGATTCGACTGTTTCGTAGGCAAAAAAGGCCGGTTTTATGTACTTTTGGACATCATTAGGCAAGAACAAAGTGAATACTGCTGTCTGATTTGAAACTCATTAGGGTTTAAACCCATTTGTCTCTTTTAGTCTGATAGTCACTATACCCAGATTCGATTTCTCTGTTTGAACTTTGAACCTGAAACTCATGACGGTTTAAGTTATCGCCAACATTTGAACATGAAAATATTTAGGTTTAATTTGATTCTGCTATTTGAATCTGAATTTTGTTGGAATTTGATTGAGTTTCTGCTTGCTCTCCGATGTTCAAATGTTTTAACCAACTTCCAGTTGTAGTTATGTTTTACACGAGTAGAGGAAATAATGATTTTGAAATGGCAAGTAGTGATGTACTCTTCATGTTTCCCTTTTGTAGACAAATCAAAATGTAACGGAGGTTCCGAACACAAGAAGAAGGAGGTGACCGTTCCAAAAGACGGATCGACAGCACATATCGCTGCGCAGACGTTTACCTTCCGAGAGTTGGCAGCTGCCACTAAGTGCTTTAGACCGGAATGCCTTCTGGGTGAAGGGGGATTTGGACGTGTTTACAAGGGTCGTCTCGAGAGTACAGGACAGGTCAAGTGTCGGAATTGAAATGAGATCAGCGTTTAAAAAGTTTTGTAATTTACTTTCATCTTTTAAACGATTTAGAATCTTTTCCCTCTCTTTCAGCTGTAATGTTTACCTAGACATGGTACGGTTATATCCTGCAGACAGTTGCGGTTAAACAGCTTGACCGGAATGGCCTACAAGGGAACAGAGAGTTTCTTGTAGAGGTTCTAATGCTGAGCCTCTTGCACCATCCTAATCTTGTGAATTTGATCGGTTATTGCGCTGATGGCGATCAACGTCTTCTTGTTTATGAGTACATGCCTCTTGGATCATTGGAGGATCATCTTCATGGTAAGAACTTTAATGTAAAGATGATATTTTTGGTGAATCTGTCATCTAATCTTTAGCTTTGAAGTATAAAAAATGATAGTATTAGCACTGTAATAGTTGTATGCAGTAATTTAGACTTGGTTATCAGATCTTCCGCCGGATACAGAACCTCTCGACTGGAATACGAGGATGAAAATAGCTGCAGGGGCGGCAAAGGGGCTGGAGTACCTGCACGACAAAGCTAACCCTCCAGTGATCTACCGGGATTTCAAGTCATCGAACATACTTCTCGGGGAAGGCTATCACCCGAAGTTATCTGATTTCGGGCTGGCGAAACTGGGGCCAGTCGGTGATAAAACGCACGTCTCGACCCGTGTGATGGGCACTTACGGTTATTGTGCACCGGAATATGCCATGACCGGCCAACTCACCTTGAAGTCCGATGTCTATAGCTTCGGAGTTGTGTTTCTCGAGCTCATCACGGGCCGCAAGGCCATTGATAATACCCGAGCGCCGGGAGAGCACAACCTTGTTGCATGGGTGAGTTGTCATAATCCCACCTGGTTATAATCTTGTCTGATTATTCACATCTGGTTCTGTCGGGTCTCGGGATGTTAACAGGCGAGGCCGCTATTCAAGGACCGGAAGAAGTTCCCGAAGATGGCGGACCCGTTGCTGCAAGGGAGATACCCAATGCGAGGTCTATATCAGGCACTTGCAGTAGCGGCAATGTGTCTGCAGGAACAAGCATCCACGAGGCCGCTCATAGGCGACGTGGTCACGGCTCTGACGTACTTAGCAACCCAAACATACGACCCGAACGCATACAGCAGAGGTGGGGGCCCGCCTTTGATAAGGACGCGGTATGAGTATGGGGGCAGCGGCCTGGACAGCCCGGGAACAGATACCCGTAGCCGTCTCAGCTCACCATCCACACACAGAAACTCACCGAACTTCAGGAGACGGGACTAAAATTGAAGTGAACAATCATGGATTCAGAAAGAATGACCTCCCAAGTAATGTCGTCAATACGATGACAATTGATGTCATTTCCGCCGCTCACCTTGCAATAGCCAGCAGATTAATAAGATCACAAATCAAATAAACAAAAAAATGGATCTAAAAAATTATCTCATAAAATTAAAGGGATATGATTAATGAGGGCATTGTGATTACCTAGCAGAGCTCACAAAGTCATCCATGGAGAGCTGCTTTCGTTTCTTCAAGGACGAAGGCCCTTCCATTGCTTGCCTTCCTGAAGCTCCTCTCTTCAATGGCGTCGTCCCACTCTGACAATATACAAACGAGAAAAAAGCATTGAACTTTTCCATGCCAAGTCATTGGAAACTATTACGGAGAAATATGTCTTTCTTTCACCTTTGCAAGCTTCTTCTCTTTACGGGCTTGCCTTTCTCTCTCGTCAAACTCTTGGTTCTCTTTCTCGATGAGTCGGATGAGAGTGTCGCACCTCCTCGCGAGTTCCTGGGTCGTTCGTGATTTCACAAACCAGTCGAACCTGAACAAGGGCGATGTCCTGAACGCCGCCTTCAGCTCATCCCAGTTCCCGTACCCGAGCTTGTGAACCATGCATATCTGTTTTTTTTTTTTTGAAAAGATCCCTGAGGGTCAATATTCACAAAAACATTTGACTTGGATAGAGTGTGGATAGAAAGATAGATTATCAGACCATGAATCGATCGCAGTCTTCATTGTACAGCTTTCCTTTGTTCTGACCATACTGAACCTTCAGTTCGAGCCACGGGTTCTTGTAACGGTCCAGTTTCTTCCCGATGGCTTTCATGATTTCATCTTTCCTAGAAATCCTTGCCTCTCCCCTTTCAATATTCTTGATGATTCTGTCATAATCTACAAGTTTCACATTGGGGAAATAATATAAGCAGTAATTCTAAGCCATGACAAAGAGCCATATAAGCCAAAACCCCCGTGAAGTTACTAACCGTTCAGCTCCTTGTATCGTTCTTTAAAAGCTTTGGCATATCGTTCAACCTCTTCCTCTGTTTTCCCTTCCATCTCTGTGGCAATGCTTTTGATGTCATTCCGGCCATACTTCTCACAAGCCCTTAGGAAGGTGTTGAAGTCTCTTCTACTCCAAGTCGAGAAACCCTGAGAAGTTTTTAACATCATGTTAGAATTCATCAAACTTACCAACAACTCAAAATGTCTTTCCCAAATAATAACATCAAATAGTAACACTTGCCTCTTCCAATAACCTTTCCTTTTCTTCCACCTCTTCAGCAGTTAATGGGTCTCCCCCTTCTAAGGATACATTTCTTGATCAGTAATAGATTGAAGAAAACCATGTCTAAAAAGATAGCAGCAGACTAAACAACTGAGCTGACCTTCTGGTTCATCAACATCGATTGTCTCTTTCACCTGATTTTTCTGATGAGCTTGCTGAAACAATCAAAGTGAAGACAACTTTTTCATCAGCCCAAAACTCTGTTTAACAGAATCAGATGGTGAACTTATCCTAACAAAAATAAATACCCACCATGAGGTGACGCACTTCCTTTTCGTACAACTCAGTCAGTCTCTGAATGTTAAAGAACTGGAAATCATGCCTGCATAATTCACAACAAAAATGATTTTTCTAGCGCGTGAGGATACCATTCGGCAGAGGGAGGAATTGGGGGTTAGGTGATGTGGGAGGAGACAGTCCGGGGAGGGTCGGGAGAGGGGTGGCGGGGGCAAAGGTGTGGGGAGAGAACTGGAGGGAGAGGGAGAGAGACTGTAGTAATGCTCCCAGCTTTGACAGTACAAATGAATGAAATTTGTCTCTTTTTTTTTGTTTGGGGGGTTAGGAGACGGCCGAGGAGGAAGTCGCAGTGCATGAAAGGGATATGTGAAGTTCATAAATTAAAAAGCCCTCAGAGGATAAAAAAGGTTAGGGAAGGGAAATCATCTGCAGAGAAAATAAAGGGAATGAAAAACGATATTGAAGTGTTCTGTTCTGTCAGAAAGTGTAGAAAGAGAGATTCTTCAATGTTGTTGTCTGAAGCTGCAGAAAGGAAACAAGAGCGATCGAGGTTTTGTTTGTGGTGAGGGAGGAAGAAAAGAAAAAGAAATGTTTTTACTTCATAATAACCATTTTAGAAGTACAAAAAAAATGTTTGCCAAGGTTAAGGGTCAACGTTTTGGTTTGGTTTTTAGAAACCGAATCGTATCGAAGTAAAGATTTCGATTTTTTTTTTAACCGTACCATTCACTCCATATTTTTTATAGAAAACGAATTTTATAAAATTCTTGAAAAATAATTTTTTTTAAAAAATTAAATATTTTAGCAAAAACTAGAGGCAAAACATCTAGTTTATCCGAAACCAGAACCGAAACATACGAAAGATACAAATTTTAGAATATTGAATAAAATATTTCTAAACCGAAACGTTAAAATTTCGAATCAAATCCCGAAACTATTACTTTTAAGAAAACAAATAAAAGGCTCTAAATTTTCGTTTTGCTATTTGTATTTTCAGAAATTGCGCTGCCACATAATAATAATAATAATAATAATAATAATAAATGTAACAAGCAGGGCTTACAGAGCTCAAGTCAATCCTAATGATATAATTTGTACAAAACGTCTTACAAATTAGGGTTCTAAAATTGAAGTGAACAATCATGGATTCAGAAAGAATGACCTCCCAAGTAATGTCGTCAATACGATGACAATTGATGTCATTTCCGCCGCTCACCTTGCAATAGCCAGCAGATTAATAAGATCACAAATCAAATAAACAAAAAAATGGATCTAAAAAATTATCTCATAAAATTAAAGGGATATGATTAATGAGGGCATTGTGATTACCTAGCAGAGCTCACAAAGTCATCCATGGAGAGCTGCTTTCGTTTCTTCAAGGACGAAGGCCCTTCCATTGCTTGCCTTCCTGAAGCTCCTCTCTTCAATGGCGTCGTCCCACTCTGACAATATACAAACGAGAAAAAAGCATTGAACTTTTCCATGCCAAGTCATTGGAAACTATTACGGAGAAATATGTCTTTCTTTCACCTTTGCAAGCTTCTTCTCTTTACGGGCTTGCCTTTCTCTCTCGTCAAACTCTTGGTTCTCTTTCTCGATGAGTCGGATGAGAGTGTCGCACCTCCTCGCGAGTTCCTGGGTCGTTCGTGATTTCACAAACCAGTCGAACCTGAACAAGGGCGATGTCCTGAACGCCGCCTTCAGCTCATCCCAGTTCCCGTACCCGAGCTTGTGAACCATGCATATCTGTTTTTTTTTTTTTGAAAAGATCCCTGAGGGTCAATATTCACAAAAACATTTGACTTGGATAGAGTGTGGATAGAAAGATAGATTATCAGACCATGAATCGATCGCAGTCTTCATTGTACAGCTTTCCTTTGTTCTGACCATACTGAACCTTCAGTTCGAGCCACGGGTTCTTGTAACGGTCCAGTTTCTTCCCGATGGCTTTCATGATTTCATCTTTCCTAGAAATCCTTGCCTCTCCCCTTTCAATATTCTTGATGATTCTGTCATAATCTACAAGTTTCACATTGGGGAAATAATATAAGCAGTAATTCTAAGCCATGACAAAGAGCCATATAAGCCAAAACCCCCGTGAAGTTACTAACCGTTCAGCTCCTTGTATCGTTCTTTAAAAGCTTTGGCATATCGTTCAACCTCTTCCTCTGTTTTCCCTTCCATCTCTGTGGCAATGCTTTTGATGTCATTCCGGCCATACTTCTCACAAGCCCTTAGGAAGGTGTTGAAGTCTCTTCTACTCCAAGTCGAGAAACCCTGAGAAGTTTTTAACATCATGTTAGAATTCATCAAACTTACCAACAACTCAAAATGTCTTTCCCAAATAATAACATCAAATAGTAACACTTGCCTCTTCCAATAACCTTTCCTTTTCTTCCACCTCTTCAGCAGTTAATGGGTCTCCCCCTTCTAAGGATACATTTCTTGATCAGTAATAGATTGAAGAAAACCATGTCTAAAAAGATAGCAGCAGACTAAACAACTGAGCTGACCTTCTGGTTCATCAACATCGATTGTCTCTTTCACCTGATTTTTCTGATGAGCTTGCTGAAACAATCAAAGTGAAGACAACTTTTTCATCAGCCCAAAACTCTGTTTAACAGAATCAGATGGTGAACTTATCCTAACAAAAATAAATACCCACCATGAGGTGACGCACTTCCTTTTCGTACAACTCAGTCAGTCTCTGAATGTTAAAGAACTGGAAATCATGCCTGCATAATTCACAACAAAAATGATTTTTCTAGCGCGTGAGGATACCATTCGGCAGAGGGGAAAAGTTCATAATCGTAAATGGGAGTTCTTCATATACTCACAATTGGGGCATGCGTGGAATTCTAGGTTCCTTGGGTTTGGCTGGAGCCCCTTGCCGCAATGTTTGCTTGAAGTATTCCGACTCAGAATAACTGAAGAGGGTGGAGCAAGCAAAAACGGGGAAATTTTCACGTTACAGAATGGTTAGCTAAACAAAGATGACCACACGATGTATGAGGCAGAAGTGACGTTTACTTGCGCTTTCTCTCTCTCTTAGGCGGATCATTCCAATTTTCGGTCACAATCTTTTTGAAATCAAACTTGTTCTCATCCTACAGAGCAAAATTAAAAGGAAAACTGTTTAAAATAATGTACATGATTACTATTGCAGGAAACAAAAGCTTGATCTATTCAATAAAATGCATCCAAGATTCACCTTATTGTCATCATCGAAATCATAAAAATCAGCACCTGCAACAGAACCACATAATAAGATTATTTGAACACTTCAATGGCCGCCATGCAAGGGAATCACCACATAAAAGAAAAAAGAATGGTTAGTGATGCACTTACTGTCATCCATTTTAAACTGTATTGCATCTTCAGTGAACTTCTTCATCTTGGCATCAAGTTCAGCCGTTGCTTCTTCTCCTTTAGCAATGATTCTGTCTATATCCTCATCTGTAATTGTGCTGTCTTTAGAACTGAACACCATTTCAGCACCAAACCTCACCATTTGAAGCAACTCATCTTTATTAACAGCTGTCATAAAGAAAAGGTATTAGTCAATCAGAGGAAACTTTATGCACAAGAAAAGGCTTGATATAGAAACACGTACTTTTCTGTTCTGCCAAACGCCCTTGTTGAATCACTAGAGCATCAAGTGCCAACTTCTTATAAGCTCTTTCGATTACTTTCTCTTCAATAGCATACTGTAAACAAGAAATAAAGAGTTAATTCAAATGTCCATGGCAACTCTTACTTGACAAGCAAGACAAGATTCAAACCTCTGTGCAGAACCGAAACACTTGAACTTCTTTCTTTTGACCAATCCTATGGGCACGGTCCTGTGCTTGCAGATCGACTTGGGGGTTCCTGCCACAATCCACCAGCATTGTCAAACATGAAAAAGAAGGCATATACTACGACAGAAAGGAAAAAAGGCTAACCAATCACTATCATAAAGGATCACAACATCTGCAGTAGCAAGATTGATACCAAGCCCTCCAGCTCGAGTAGATAACAAGAAAACAAATTTCTCACTTCCTGGCTTGTTGAAGGCTTCTATGGAAGCATCTCGTTCTTCACCACCAGTATTTCCATCAATACGACAGTACTGATAACCTCGATACATCAAATAATCTTCAAGGATATCCAAAAGCCTAGTCATCTGATATTGGGTGAGTAAGAAGGTTAGACTATACATGACACGAGAAAGACCAACACTTCACACACTTTGCTAAAAGAGGGGAAACAAAGAAGACATCGACAGAAAGAGGAGATTCTTTGGCGCTATCTAGTGGCAGTTTTACCTGAGAAAATATTAGGACCCTTGAATCACGTTCCTTCAACTTCGGAAGCAACTTATCCAAAAGAACCATCTTACCTGAAAACAAGAAACAAATGTATTGTCATACTTCAAACACAGCCATCCCCACATTAATCAAAAGGACTGATATGAAGGTAAGACTTACCTGCATTTGTTATAAGATGATCTCCTGTGGTATAAGGGGGACCAGGTTCTGCACCCTGGAAGAGATAAGGATGGTTACAGCATTTACGCAATTGCATTGCTATGTTCAACAGACGTTTGCGTTCTCCACCAGCATTGATTACTTCAAGATCCTTCTGCAACAATGCCTTGTAATATTGTTTTTGCATCTGAGACATGCCAACTTTGAGAATTGTCTCCTTTTTTGGAGGCAAACCTTTCTCAACATCTGATTTCAATCTCCGAAGAAGAAACGGCCGAAGAACCTAAAAGATATCTGTAAGTGACTGAGCAATTAAAACAAGATTGAACTCAATATCAAGAAAAATACATACCTTATGAAGCTGCTGAACAACTTCCTGCTGGTCACTGTCACCAGAAATTTGAAACCATTCATCAAAAGTCTCAGCTGAACTAAAAATCTCAGGCAGAAGAAAATTGAGAAGAGCCCAAAGTTCATGAAGATTATTCTGCACGGAAGGAACAAGGATTATAAGATACTGCGACAAACACAACATTGTCTAAAAGAGGAAGCAAATCGGTCAATCGCAGAAAGACATACAAGGAAAAATTTTTCCAGTACAAGCAATTAAATACAAGAATTCAGTATCTAAAAAATTCCCAATGGAATAAATACCTGAAGGGGGGTCCCAGTTATAAGAAGCCGATAATTGGTGTTATACAATCTCATGGTTTTTGAGAGAAGTGAATTTTCATTCTTGATACGATGTGCTTCATCAATGATGATATAACGCCAGCTAAAACGACGCAAGGCTGACTTCTCTTTAATAGCCATCTCAAAGCTTGTGACACAGACATCAAACTTCCCAGCAACTAACAGCTCTTCGCGAATATACCTCTGGATTATTTAAGAAGCGCTTCAGCATCCTCACCAATAGAACTAAAAAGACCACTTTTATGACAGGATTCGCACTTACCCTTTCCTCAGGATTGCCAAGGAACTTCACAGCGCGCAGGACAGGACAAAAACGGCGTATTTCATTCATCCAATTACCAAGAGTCGATTTTGGGGCAACTACCATGTGAGGACCAGTAATTCCTCTGTACTCATGCAAGTAACCCAACAAAGAAATTGTTTGTAGTGTCTTCCCCAGACCCTGGATAACATAATAATAACTGTTAACATCAAATACTAACTGAAAATACGTTATTTAGATACATAGGAGCAGTGGCTAACCATTTCATCAGCAAGAATTCCATTTATGCCATTCTCGTACAGCCGAATGAGCCAGTTTAAACCAGCTAGTTGGTAATCTCTCATCTTTCCCTGGATACCTGCACAATGGAAAGTAAGAAGATGAGATATCCAATATTCTCCCAATAAAATAGCTAGGACGATGAGAGTTGATGCAAGGTGTCAATCAAAGTGTATCTTCGGGCCAGCACATTCAATAGATTAGATAGTCAGCAATGGCAAGCTTTGTGCTACCAAACGTGTATAAGTGGATATGTGAAGTTCATAAATTAAAAAGGTGGGAAATATAGCTTACATGATGGCTGTGTGACCAACCGTGTGTTTCCTGCTCCAGATAAACCGTCCTCTTCTTCCTTTAGACACTCTTCATCTTCTTCCTCTTCAGTTAATTTCGAAGCATGACGACCCCTGAAGCAATGACAATAAAGCCCAGTAAATTTATTGTTCATCCAACATATTCCATGAGTGAAGCTTTAGACAAAGACAATAGTGTATTTTAAGACCAAAAGCTCTATACTCCCAGAACTAGTTCCTTTCTAAGAAAGGGAACTGACATGAAAACACACCTTCCTTTTGTCTTCTTCTGAGATGAGGATTGATCACCTTTAGCAAAGTGCGCAAATAACTCCGTTTGCTGCAGAAGATACTTCAATCTCCCTTTCCCGCTGTTGTTCTGCATATATAAAAGAGTAGGGTGGGTCAAAACATGAATTCATTAACCACAAGCAGCTAAGATCCCGATTATTTTGCAATCCAAAGTCCAGACACACCATATCAGCATCTATAGCAGCATTTTGAGCGTCCAATATTTTCTGAATCTTCTCCTTCTTCATTTTCTGCATGTCTTTAAGTCTGGACTTTTCACGCTTGCTGATTTCAGCTGTCTCTCCATCTTCATCATCCTTCATTTGATAATCAAATCACCAAATGAGTTATCAATATCTCTAAAGTCCACATCCAGGGATTAGCCCATTGAACGAACATGAGCATGCATTTTACTTCTACCAAAAAACCCTTTACAGTTTATGTCAAAATGTTAGATGCCAAACACATCCAGTACAGAATTTCTTTCACCAACAGAAAAATTCCAGCAGAAACCCTAATGAAGCGCTGAAACACCCAAGTTACCAGTACGACAAGACGCTAAAGCAAAACAGATTTGACATTGAAATAATTAAAGATGCGAAACCCCCCTCCTCGGCATCATTATCGGCAGAGGCGCCCGCCTCATCGTCAGACACAGGTGAATCATCGGCGGTGGCGGCCTCTTCGTCGGAACCGGCGGAGCGAGCGACGGCCTCGAGCTCTTCCTCATCTTCCTCTTCGTTGACCTGATCGTTAACCTGCTCCTCCTCGGACGAGGAGTCGTCGTCGGAAGAAGATTCGCGCTTCGAGGTTCTCGCCATGGATTCTCCGGATCCTCTTTTCCCCTGAGATCGATAGGGTTCCTCAATTTCGCTTCAGACTAGTAGAAAAGTGGAAAAAAATCCTAAAAAACATACAGAGCGAGTTTTGAAATGAAGAGGGCCATCGAGTTATTTATGGCCGTTGATTCGAGCGATTAGATGAACGGCTCCGATGTGCCACGTGGCGTATCCCGACAGGGAGTTCCCGCCACCTGAAAAAGAGGTTCCGGAAATTCCCGCCCTCGGACTCGAACTCGAACTCAAGGGCTGGGTCGAGTTTGGCCCATGGGCCATTCTATAGGCTCGTTTATGTTAAAAAAGATATTATTAATTATTAGGGAAAATATATATGGTATTTTTCCTACCGGCTTATCCAATTCCGTACAGGACACTGCTATACTGGAGTGGACACCTCAGCGCTCCAAATTGAAATTCCAATACTACCCCTACCCACAGCCACACGCATCTATTGCGTGTCAAAGGGCAATAAATAGAATGTTCGTGTCTCTCCGTTTTCTGCTATTACCGTTTTTCTTCTCTTACCAATTTGGAAGTATACGCCGCCGTTTTCCTTGAATTCGATCGCCTGTCACCGGAATTTATCGCCGATTTTCCGACCGGAATCCTGAATTTCCGCGGGAAGCAGTTCGACCGACGCTTTATTAGCCTTGCTTGTCGTCGGATTTTTTGGCGCCAGAATTTCACAGTAGTCTTGCCCTAATTCTGGTGGAATTCGGAAAAGCTCTTGCGGGTTTCGCTTCGCAAGCTAAGGTTTGGATTGATTTTGGTGTAAATTTCGTTAATTGCGCCAATCTATGCTCGTTTTCTTCCTTATCTGTAACTGAAACTTTCTGTTAATTTGACGTTATTTTGGTTGAAAAGACAAGACAGTGAAACGGTTTATTATCTTGATGCAGAACATGGGACAAAGAAGATGGTTGCTGTTATTGGCAGTTTTTGCTTGTCTGCTTTCAGTCTCTAGTGGTAGAGGTAATGATAGAACTTCGAACTCTGAATAAGCTTAGAAACTGCGATGTGATGAAAGGATTGGTAATTTAATCGGATTTTTTTTTTTTGCAAAGGAAAGAAGAAGATGATCTAAATATGTTGCAGGATTTTTGCTAAATTTGAACTCATTTTATCAGTGATGGATGGTGCATTAAGGCTAATCAATCTTTCATTGCAGTTCTCAAGATAAAGACAGAAGATGATCGCCCTCTTTACAACCATAGCCTTGCCAGAATACTTGTGGAGTATGCTTCTGCAGTAAGTTCGTGGGAGAAAAAAAAATTATCGTACTTGAAAAAGAAAGTAGCTTTAATGTTTTTGTTCTGTAAGGATTGTGGTTCCCTATGACATCTATGCTATTTGTCTCATGTTTTGCCCATGTCTTAGTTCGCGTGTGTTAGAACTCAGTCGGGTGCTTGTCTGGTCTGGTTCAGATACTTATATATCGTGGAAGGAATAATGAGAAACTATGATATGGTGTAAGACTGCTGAATGGAGTTTCTATATGCAGGTGTATATGTCTGATTTGACAGAACTCTTCACTTGGACATGTGATAGATGCGACGGTTTGACGAAGGTATTATATCTGATGAGGCGGCCCATGATAACAATGTATAACATTTTTTTTTTTGCGGATGGTTATTCTAATGCACTTCCGGTTTATACAGGGTTTTGAAGTAATAGAGCTAATAGTTGATGTCGAGCACTGCTTACAGGTGTGTCCCTGTATCAATTCACATACTGATCATAGGCTACATCAAGACATGATTTCTTCATTGAGCTTTACTTTATGTTGATACATCTGTCCGACTTGTGATGATAGGCATATGTTGGGGTGGCAAAGAATTTGAAGGCTGTTGTTATTGCCTTTAGGGGCACTCAAGAACACAGGTGCAATTTTCGTTACAAATAGAGTGAACTTCACTAATCATGTGCCTAAACTGGTTCGATGTTTAATCAAAACCCTATACATGTGCAGCATGCAGAATTGGGTCTCGGACTTGTTCTGGAAACAGCTCGATTTAAACTACCCTGACATGCCGGATGCAATGGTAGGTATATCTCCAAGTTTTTTTCTCATCAATTTAAATACATTATGTGATGGCATTTGTAAATAATCATCCACTCTGTTGCAGGTGCACCATGGCTTCTATAGTGCTTATCACAATACGACAGTGCGTCCTGCGGTTTTGAATGCAGTGAAAGAAGCGAAGAAATATTATGGAGACCTCAATATTATCGTGACCGGTCACTCGATGGGAGGAGCCATGGCTGCATTTTGTGGACTAGACCTCGTTGTAATATTCCTAGACTCGCTCTAGTTTTTTCGATATGTTATGTCCCTTGGAATTTGTAATCACGTTTTAACATTTCTATGTGAATTGCAGGTGAATGGAGGAGAAGAAAAAGTGCAGGTTATGACATTTGGACAACCTCGTGTCGGGAATGCCGCCTTTGCGTCTTACTACAGCCTGCTTGTACCTAATACCTTCCGGATCACACATGACCGCGATATTGTGCCTCATCTGCCTCCATACTATTATTATTTTCCTCAGAAAACGTACCACCACTTCCCGAGAGAGGTAACACCTGGGTTTGTTAAAATCATTCATGCATGAACCGACTTTTGCTTATGAACAGAACTCTTCCCTTGTGCCTTGTGGAGCTGTCACATAGAATTCGGACTCTGGTGGCTTGAGTTTGCATAGAGTTTTCTGAAATGGGTCTTAGCCGACATGCTAAACATGGCATTTATTTGTAAAAAGAAAATGAACTTCCTGTAGTTAATAGGATTTGAACTTTTGTATTTTTGGCATTCCTCAAGGGCTTATGGTTTTTGTGACATCTTTTGGTGCTCATCCAGTAAAATGTATAAGATTTTTATACAAGTTTTAGATAATCACTTAGACTTGTTCCTTAGATTTTCTCCGGTTCATCCAGAAACTGTATGTAAAGACTAAAAACGATGAAAACCTCCCTCGATCTTACAGGTATGGCTAACAGAGGCCGGATTCGGGAATCTGGTTTTTTACGGGGTGGAAAAAATTTGTGACAACACGGGCGAAGATCCCACGTGCAGCAGGTATAACCCATTCAATCCCTACGATGAAACACAGAAGTCGTGTAATTAGGGCGTGAACCGATACGTAATTCTTCGTTTCAGATCGGTCAGGGGCACTAGCATTTCCGACCACTTGACGTATTTCGGAATCAAGATGGGCTGTGAGAAGTGGAGATCATGTAACATAGTGATGAACCCTCCTCCGGCCGAGAGTTACAGCACAGTGGACGTAAAGGGGAACATAGTTTTGTCGAGGACACTTGCTTCTCCGCAGGTACTGGAACTGAAAACTCTGTCCGAAACTTAGAAAGTGGAAAGTGTCTTAAAGGAGTTATGTTCGTTAGGTTATAATTAAAGTACACGCACGAGATGTTTGCCAATAAACAAACAAACAAACAAAAAAACACATGGAAATTGAGATGTGGATGGGGGGGAAAAGGGTTCTTTGATTCATTGTTGTGGGGAAGAATGTGTGTATAATGAGACTTGGATTATATAGACTCTGTAAATATTGTCACCGTGTAAGTAAATAACATCACGTCTTCAAGTAGGTCTTTTCTTTCTTGTGAATATATATGTATGTATGTTTATGGATCAATAAGAATGAATGATTTTTTTTTTTTGTTCTAATAAACTTTGTGGATTAGTCTGACTATAAGTTTTGGATGTCACATATGTTATATGGATATTAAATTATTTTTTTATATGGTTATATAGATGCATGTGCTTAGATTTTGTGATCAATTAATGTTATGTAATCCGTCCACCTTTTCTAAATTTGCAGTATCAATTTCATAGTGTAATTTTAAATTTAACCATTTCCTATAGAATACTATCTATTCCGTCTTACTTAATAAATACAGTAATTTCGGTGAAAAATAATTTTTTTAAAAATAATAATTAAATTTGAAAGGGATTTGAGTCGAATGAATTTTAAAATAATAATTGAGTGTATATATTTTTGTAACACTATCCATACTCTTCTTTTATTTTCGCTGTGTTTTCTAAACGTCAATTCAGCTTTGAAGACTTGAAGTATGTTATTATTGGTAATATATAAATTTATAAATATTTAATATACTTATGTTATTATTGATCATATATAAATTTATAAATATCTTATACTAAATGCAATCATTGACGTGGCGTGTCCCGTAAGTAAGATATGGGACTTCTTTAGCCCCATATGTCAAGTGGACCGATCTTTCCCACTTATTGTACAATTTTTTTTTTACTGCAAGGCATAAAGCAAAGAAGTTAGTGATTAAATAGATTACAAATTTATATTTCAAATTATCTTTTTAGTATGATCGGTTTCATATTCGTTATAGAATATTTTTTTAAAATTATTTTATGAGTTCTAATGTAATTAATTTGATTTTAAAAATAATATCAATTCATTTTAGGATCAGATATAATTATATATTATTTAATTCCATTTTTCCGTTGAACTCAACAGTTTTGTAATAGCATTAATGCTATTGATATATCTAATTATTCTATAAAACAAGTTGAAAATTTTTAAAGTTGGAATTTATTGCATTTCATTTGCGCAAGTATATATCATATTTTATTATATAGTTTACTTGTATGAGTATATCCACAACCTTATCCCATTGAAATTTGGTTTTTTACAGCGTACAGTTTGCAAACTGTTTTAATGGCATTATTATTTTTTTATTTTATATTAATGTTTATAAATATTCTGGAAAAGAATATTAAAAGGGTAGACATGTCAAATGGCCATGTTGGCTCCTCGTGGGTCTAATATTAGGTGTGCACGAAAAGAATATTACTGACTTTCTTGGATATACCTTTTCCTTCTAACATATATCTATTTTATTTTTATTTTAATTTGCTGAAATATATAAAATATTTTATATAATCCAATATTTTTCATCGTAAATGATGAGGGTTGAGAATTTTGGTTTTAATAGTATCATTTTCTTAATAAATATAGTTAATTTTTTTTTTGTTAAAACCATAATTTTCTTGAGGAAAAATTATAAAATAAAAAAATACGATTCATCATTTCATTGTATATTTGATTATGCAAAAACAATAACGGAATAGTATATAAACATATTCCAACTAAATACGAGTAGATTTTTTATATTAGAAAATTTGAATCTAACGGAAATATAAGCTAACCAAAATACAATATTTACAATATTTTATAAATATTTATTTTTATCACTGAATAATCTAATCCAAAATATTCATGTCTCTAGCTAGTGTCTCAAATTAAATTCGATTTCTGATTGGCCAAAAATTCGGCGCAGTTATGTCCACGTCATCCATCTCCATCCCCCATTATCGGATATCCTCTCTCTCTCTCTCTCTCTCTCTCTCGCTCTCCGTTTTATCAAGGACAATCTGACGTTCTTCGACCCCAAAAAAAAAGGTCGAAGATTTAACCGCTTTGACGTCCAAAGATCGAATTTTTTTGTTGTTCTTAACTTCTTCTTGCGATAAACTGTTTCAGTCAAAGCACATTTTGTCCCAAAATCCATCTTTACAAAACAGTCAAAAAGAGGATAACTATCGGGGTTTCTGCCATTCCGACAATCCTTCACCTCTCTCTCTCTCTCTCTCTCTCTCTCTCTCTGTGTGTCTTTCTCCTCCTGCTCTCATGGAAGCTGCAGCCAACGAACGCCTCCATTTTGGCAAGATGGGTTTCGGGTATTCACTTTTTCTGTTTGATTTTGGTCGAATTCAATCTAATGTTCTGAGTTTTGACTCCACGATCATTGCGGATTCACGAGTTGTGTCCCGTTTTCATGTTCGGTCGATGAGCTTCGTCTGTGTTTCCATCTCTGATTCACATATCTTGCGCGTCTTTTGCATCTTCGATTCCTGAAATTCATATGTTTGTTCAGTTTATTCTTCTCGATCTATAGGTTCGATCGATTTCACGTTTTGATCCTCAAAGTTCGTTCCTTTTCCATATCCGATTCATGGGCTTTTTCTGTTTCCCGTCTCTGGAATTCAATCAGTTCTTCATTTTGTGATCCTAGATCCCATTCCATCGATTTTCACGTTCAGATCCACAGATTAAGCTGCAATTTCACTTTTTGATTCAAGGGCTGTATCCACTTCCCATCATTGATTGACATAAATCATCAAATTCTCGTTTTTTTATCGATCGATTCTTGTATTTCCTTGATGGGTATTCTCAATCTTTCTCTCTTTTGAATTCAAGGTGTAAGCATTACAGGAGGAGATGCAAAATCAGAGCCCCCTGTTGCAACGAAGTCTACTCTTGCCGCCATTGTCACAACGAAGCTACGGTAATTTCAATCAGTTTAACGATCAACCCTTATGTTTTTTAGTTATGTCTGATTTCTGTTCTCTTTTGAATTTGTAGAGCACATTGAGCAATATCTATGACCGCCATGAGATTGTTCGTCAAGACGTTAAACAAGTACAGAAAACCAGATCATCTCTCTGTGTTTCTCTTCAGTTTCCTCTTCAAGAATCATACGTTTTTAGCATTGCTTATTGTAACATTTTGTTGCTGTAATGGTGTTTCAGGTCATTTGTTCTGTTTGTGATACAGAACAGCCGGTAATTCTCTATCTATTCATCTATCTATACATACAACTCCTGTCTCGGTTCGACTTGTTATCTTCTGGTTTCTTGTCTGATTTGGAACACATTCTGTAAATCTCTTTTCTTGGTAAACTTTGGATCCTGGGATTATGGTGATTCTTTTAGTGGACTTTGTGTAGAGATGGCTTAGCTTTCATATATGCATTAGCCTCGCTATTGACGTGCAGTTCAGGCAAAAAACACGAAGATTAGTATTTAGAAGATGTATGATCAAATCTCATTGAGAGAATGGAGTAGATTTATGATATGATAATGCTCTCTTGATATTGGTATTGGTACTTCTTCAACGTCTAATATTTTTTGCGGATTTCTGTAGAGGTAAGCTGAAAAACATCTTATATTGGTTTCTTGATGCATACCAACCAGGTTGCCCAAGTTTGCTCGAACTGCGGTGTAAGCATGGGAGAATATTTCTGCAAAATCTGCAAATTCTACGATGATGACGTAACTATTCTCTCTATCAAATTCATCCATTGATCACCGAGAATATGAGATTGTTTCATTCGCATCTTGTTCTAGCATCTGAAATTCTGATTCTTTTCCTTCTCTATTTGCCATCTGAGTTTTCGCTCGTGTTTGTAAATTCAGACGGAAAAAGGACAGTTCCATTGTGATGACTGTGGAATTTGCAGGTGGGTTTTCTTCTTTTTGCTTCTTCAGTTTCTTCTTGCTGCTTGCTTCTTCCTCATCTCCTTCTTGCTTCTTTCTTCTTCTGCATCTTGCTTCTTTCTTCTTCTGCTTCTTTCTTCTTCTTCTTGCTTCTTTCTTCTTCTGCATCCTGCCTCTTCCTCTTCTTCTTGCTTCTTCACTTTCTTCTTGCTGATTGCTTCTTCTTCTTCATCTTCTTCTTCTTGCTTCTTCCTTCTTTCTTCTGCTTCTTCCTCTTCTTGCTTCTTCTTTCTTCTCCTGCATCTTGCTTCTTCATCTTCTTCTTGCTTCTTTGCTTCTTCTTCTTCTTTATTCTTGTTGCTTCTTCATCTTCTTCTTTCTTCTTTTTCTTTCTTCTTCTGCTTCTTGTTTCTTCTTTCTTCTTTTTTCCTCTTGTTTCTGCTTCTAGTTCTTGCTTCTTCATCTTCGGCTTTTTTTCTTGCTTCTTGCTTCCTGTTCTTTTTTTTTTTTGGTATTGGTGATTACCCAGTGCGGGGTTCGAACGGTGGTTGTGGAGCACTTTTGCTTCTTGTTCTTGCTTCTTCATCTTGCTTCTTGATTCTTCATCGTCTTCTTGTTTCTTGTTCTTGCTTCATCTTTTTCTTGAATCTTGCTTCTTGCTTCTTCTTCATCTTGCTTCGTCTTGTTGTTCTTGCTTCTTGCTTCTTCATCGTCTTCTTGCTTCTTGTTTCTTGTTCTTGCCTCTTCATATTGCTTCTTGCTTCTCACTGTATAATTCCTCGACATGATTATGCATCTGAAAAGGTTTCTTTGACATTTCGTGTTCAGAGTTGGTGGACGTGAGAACTTCTTCCATTGCAAGAAGTGTGGTAAGTGCCTACAGCCCCTATTATTCTTCTCTTTTCTGGGTTTGAGCATCTTCACGAGAGGAACGAAACCCTAATTTGAAACCATGCAATTCCATCCGTCAGAATCATTTGGTTATTTCGGTATACTTGAGACTGGATAAACTTACATGCATACAAATGTATTGCTCTCCGGCTTTAGGATCTTGCTACTCCATCAGTCTCCGCAACAACCATCAATGTGTGGAGAACTCCATGAGGCATCACTGCCCGATCTGTTACGAGGTATGTCTGAGAGGACATTTCGCCCGCAAATCTCTGTCGGGATTCAGAGTAAAGTCGGCGTAAAAAGCTCACAGTTCCGCGTTTTGTGGATGCAGTACCTATTTGATTCGCTGAAAGACACAACGGTTATGAAATGCGGACACACGATGCACTGTGAATGCTACCAAGAGATGATCAAGCGTGACAAGTACTGTCGTTAACTTCTCTGTTCTTTCTGTTAATGTTAAAACTGTGGTGTCTAGTTCTTACAAGTCGGATTTGACACAGGTTCTGTTGTCCCATTTGCTCAAAGTCGATGATTGATATGTCAAAAACGTGGCAGAGGATGGACGAAGAGGTTAGAATATAACCACCCGGTTTTCGGGTGAATCTGCTTTGATCTTCTTCTTTTTTTCGTCATCTGCAAATACATATTTCCCGTAGTCAATCATTGCCTGTGTCGATATTTCAGATCGAAGCAACTGCTATGCCTCCGGATTACCGTGATAAGAAGGTACCTTTTGTTTAGTTCTCTTCTCTTTACATAACCACGAGCTTGAAGCGATTTCATGATAAGTATATCATCATGAACTATATCATCAGTTTTGAATGTAACAGCTCCTCCTCATATATTGGCCCCAAATTCCTCTTTTTTTCCGATGTGGGACACTTATCATTTCATCCCGGAGAAACGGTTATCAGACGGAGTTATACAAACCCATCTGAGAATGTGAATCGAAGATGAACCCTTTCGAGGAAATCATACTCAAACTCATCAAAAAAAAGACCGATGTAAGATGAAAAAAACACAAGGAAAGTTTATCACAATGCTGCAAATTGCATTTGCAGAATGATATATATCTCAAACCCTTGAGGCATTTGTAATCAAAAGGCTGAAGGGACAACAGAGAAAACCCGAACCCGTCTTCTCTTTTTCTCTATAGCCCGGCCTTTCGGGTGATATGCATCCGACGACGAAGTGAATTCTCGGGGAATTTTGCAGGTTTGGATACTATGCAACGACTGCAACGACACGACAGAAGTATACTTCCACATAATCGGGCAGAGATGTGGGCACTGCAGATCATACAACACTCGGGCCATTGCTCCTCCTGTTCTTCCTCAATGACACACTATACATAACATCGTTCCATTCCATTCCTCGTATAGTTACCGAGCCTCAGTTCCATTAACAATCCCAAAAGGAACAGAGGAGGAAGAACACTTCCAGATTTGAGCAGGCTACCCACAAGAAAAAAAAGACAATCATAATCTTTGTCCCCGATCTCCATCTGTTGACGTTGTCATTTATCATTGTATCCTTCTTTTGTGATTCATGTTCGAAAACAGGGCATAATGAACAGTTTGTATTCTTGATCCAGGAAGATTTCATGGAGATTTGATCATTTGCTACAAGAGTTTGAGGGGTATTTTTGTCTTTTAATAACGTTGATTTTATCATATCATGTAATGTGCTGTCATAAGCAAACGCAAACGCAATTCAAACCTCTAAGAAATCCCTCAAGAATCCATTAAGAAGAAGAAAAAAGGGTAAAATACTAAAATGTACAAGCGTATATCAAGTGCTCTAAAAGATTGTCTGTTCGCCGAGTTCTTGACCAGCCATCCCTTCCCTTATCACTCTCTCGAAGAACTCCTCGAGCGTATCTTTCCCGTAACTCGGCGTTTTCTCGTCGCTGTACTCTCCCGTCTCCGAGTCCAGAATCAGCATACTCTCCGCCGCGTAATACCTCCCGATCTTCCCGAACTCGGCTGCGTCTTCCATGGCCGGAAAGATCTTGGCCATGAAATCAAGAACCCCTATCGCAAAATCCATGATCTGGATAGGAACTCTCAAGAACTTAGGCTCCTTCCCGAGCAGCCTGAACAGGATCTCGCCTTGCTCCAATGGCGTCAATGCCTTCCCGGGTCCTCCAATGGGCAAAACCCGATTCATTTTGTCTTCTTCCAAGACGCAATCCGCGATGAACGAGGCCAGATCTTGCTCGCTTATCGGCTTGCAAGCGCATAGCTTCCCGTCTCCGAACATCACATAGGGTTTCCCGTCTTTGACCAGATCGACCTGACCTCCTAGGCTCTTGAAAAACGCCGTCGGCCTCACAATGCTGTACGTAAAGCTCGAGTCTTTCTCCGCTAAATCCGTTAACTCGGATTCGAACTTCAGTTTTGCACGCTGAAACTCCAAGAGAGGCTTCTGCACACAGATTGCAGAGAGCAGAACGAAATGTCTCGCCCCGAACTTCATTCCACCGACAAGACTGTTCTTTGTGGCTTCGTAATCGATCTTCCATGAATCTTTAACGCCTCCGCTTCGACTGGCGAGGCAAGAAACAACGACATCGATCGGAAACCCTAGATTCTCTACAGATTTCTCAAGAACATCCAACTGGGTAACGTCAGAGAAACACACATTGGCACCTTGCAACTGATTCAGAGTCTCTTGCTTGTCGCTTCGACCCCTAATTCCGCTTCTCTCTCTCGCAACAGCAATCACATTGAACCCTCTCTTAATCAACTCATTCACTACGAATCTGCCTATGTATCCGGTAGAACCAACAACTAGAACGTTGATGTCGTTAGGGTTTTTGTTCCTGAAGGAAGCTGACGAAGCAGCTTCTGAAATTGCCGCGTCTAAGGCCGAAATCGGTTCGAACCTCTCCCTTCTGAAACTGAAATTCCCAGAGAAATCATGGGTTGGGGATGTAAGAGTGAAAGGAAACGAATTTACCCGAAAGTGTTTGATGAATTTGGAGCCTCTGAAGCTTTGGGGTTTGGGCGCGTGGGAAGGGAATACGTTGAAGGGGGAGCAAAGGGACATTCTTTATGGGTCTGGAGAGATGAAAGCGCGAATCTTGTTCGTGTCGAAGGAAAGTGAAAGAAAATGAGTGGGAAAATGCGAGAAAGTGAAGGAAAATCGCTCCGAGGAGAGGGATCCGTGAGGCAGTGGCGAGAGTGGGTCATTGAAGATTCGAAACTGATATGTCTGGTGGATAATTACTTCACTGGTCACAAAATCATACAGAGATCGGTTATGTCGTAAGAGCCGCGCATATTTCTGATATTTCGAATTTGCCCCACATGTTTCTTAGAATTTGTAATCTAGGACGCAATTATGGGAAACGATACGATCCGCATCTCGATGAACAGAACGTATATCGGAGAAATATATCGGGAAAAGACCAATGGGCTGATGGATGGGCCCTAACTGGACCGATTGAGTCCAAAGTCTCTGATACTTGCCACGTGTTATTTGGTGATTAATATACTCCAAAGCTAAATTATATAATTTATTATATACTTATGTGGACCCCGAACCTCGTAGTATATAAATTATGGGTGAATGTAGGGATGTCAAACGAGGCGGTTCGGACCACCTCGTTTCGAGCCAGCTCATTTTCAGCCCAGTTCGTTAAATCTATTTTTATTTGGGTCAGAAAATTTCTGACTCATCCCAAGTCGCTTAGCTCGCGAACCGGCTACCGAACCGGTTCATATTTTTCTAAATACCTAAAAAAAATCATATCAAATTATATAAAATCATATCTAAATGATATATCAACATAAAAAGAACATACGAATATATCCATATCATACTTATATTCATAATCACAATTCATATACAAAAAATCATTTTCAAATAGATAAAATCATAATTCATCCATATACAAAAAACCATTTTCAAATCATAATCTATCCATATACAATTAGATCTTAATCCATGTACAAAAAACCATCTTCAGATTCGAATCTATACATAAAAAATTAGCTTCAAATCAAAATATCATACCAACAATATCAACACTTTCAAGTTTCAACGTAAAATTTTTTTTTACTCCAACTCCCGAGCTAGCTCGTTTGGGCCCGGCTCGTGGCGAGCTGGCTCACTCAGCCCATTTTTATTTGGGTTCATATATTCTTGGCTCGCCTCGGTAAAAAAGGAGTCAATCTCGAGCCGGCTCGCGAGCTCGGCTCGTTTTGACAACCCTAGGTGAATGGATATGTGAAATATTAATTTTTAAAGTTATCTTAACTAATATAACATACAAATCCATTGGAGATAAATATTTAAAAATTAAATTAAGCAAATTAAATACAACACAATATTGCATATATTTTGTTGTGAAAATTGAACATTTTTTTATAAAATATATATCTCCATGATTTTTAGATTTTATTCGGATGGATTTAGTTTTATGATTAATTAACTTTAATTTAGCGTGAAATACGGAGAAAACATCTGGCCAAAGTATGCCGCTTTCGTCATCAGAGACAAAAAGGATCTAAACAATGAAAAGTGGAATCTACGTATATTCTTCTGACTCGAGACATTAAAGTCAAAAATATTCTTTGCCCTTTATTAATCATATGATAAAATATATGTTTATACTTTACCATATATATATATATGTATATAGATGTTTTTATATTTTTTTGGTATTTTGAATATAGATGTTTTTATATTTTTTTGGTATTTTGAATCAAAGTTTAGATTAATCTCGAAATCGGAGAAAAATTATGTAAAAAAATCATCTCCAACTTGAGATTCGAATTTAGAGCGGATAGACACTTTACACTTATATTTTAGCGGTTGAACTATCTAAATTGAGTAGACAGTGTGGTAGATAATTTGCATTTTTATTTAATCGGTTGAACTATCTAACTTGGATAACTGTTTTTATAATTTTTAAGTTTAAAATGAAAATATTTATTATGATTTTTATATATGGAACATCCGAATAAAATATTCTACGTCGAACCACGGTCATTGAACACGTATTCAATGAATCTGACTCGTTTTTTAATGAAGTGAAAAAATCACAGTTCAAATCATTCATTTTCTTGCGAACCACGAGCCGGACTCGTTTTGACATACCTAAGTATAAATAGATATGTATATATATATGTATATATATATATATTTATGTATATGTATAGGTTCAGACACGTGTGGGGGAACAGAATGAGGAGAAGTCCACCGAGGAACACAAGCACCCCAGTGGTTGGGTGTAATCATAATTAACCTTCCAAACGTGTCTTTATTTTTTTCATTTCAGATATTCTTTTTGCTCCCCATTTCCCTAACATTCCATTCTTTACTCTCTCTTTTTTTTTTTCATTTCAATTTTACTTTTATTTAATCCGACACCATACCATAACCGACAAGCAATTAACGATAATTTGATTCGAAATGAGTAAGTATAATACGATCAAAATTAAAAAAAGTTAGAATATCGATAATCAAAACTATAATATATCTTTACATTGAACATGTTTATTAGACAAGTTAATTATTAGTGTTATGTTATAGAATGATTTTAAATGTGACGTTTTTTTAACCGAAATGTAATTTCTTTTTTGAAAAAAATAAATAAAATCCGAACGTTAAGAATTCTGCTCAAAAGTCCTTTTTTCACCACTAATAAAGTTATTTTATCGAAGTACAAAAAATATCTTCTTATTAACGAGAAAAGAAAAAAATTAATTTAATATGTGGGATCCCACGTCCCATTGGAATAAAAGTTATTTTTACTACTCGCAAAAATTAAAGTTATTACTGCCACAAAACATAAAAATTGTAAACAATGCGTTGTTATTTGACAAGCCTATTTTAATTTATTAATTTAATGACATTTACCAGGAAGAGTGAAACAGATTATAGCATCACATTATAATTTGTTAAATACGAAATTCCATAATATTAATCAATGGAGATTATAATTACTATTTTAAATCCGATCTCAATTTTTTTTTGGATGGATTAAAAAAATAAAACGATAGATAATACGGATAATATCTACATTGGATAAATACGGGGAGATATTAGGATATCTACGTACCATAATAGAATCCGTTGGCAGTTAAAATACGATAATTTCGTTAGTTTATTATTGAGTTAATTTTTAATATATTTCTCGGATTTTGTCGGTAAATAAATAGAGTTAGATTTGGTAAGAGGATATATAAAATATGAAATTTTCATTTTTCGCTTTTTTTGCTATAAAAGGAACAGTCAGGAGATTATTTGATTTTAGATTCCTAAGTAAATAATAAAAGCATGTTCCCTCCTTTGTGCTATTTCTTTTCCAGACATGATCATACTACTAGCAACGAGTTATTCCCCTGCGGGTGAGAGCAGCGTAAGGACAACCCACAGCCGTTCAGATGTTGCTATTTATGATAACGAATAAACGGACGGTGGATATTGAGTCAATAGAATTTGAAAGAGTTGACTTCTTTCAGCTCCCCGAGCTCTATAAATTAACCTTTTTCGCGGTCTCTCTTTTCCGTCTTCACTCCCTCCCTCTCTCTCTCTCTCTCTCTCTCTCTCTCTCTCTCTCTCTCTCTCTGACTACAACGAGAACCCGTCCCCCCCCCCCTCTCTCTCTCTCTCTCTCTCTCTCTCTCTCTCTCTCTCTCTCTCTCTCTCTGACTACAACGAGAACCCGAGGGAGTCAAATTGAAATTGACTCGGTCACTCGGTATAACTCGTTAGGTGAGTTAGCTACTGAATCATGCGCTTAAGTTCTGTATAGATCTTTTTTTTGTTTAAATACCTGTTGTTGTTGGGCAAATCCTTGTAACGTGTATGGATTATTGAGATCGGAGCTTCGTGCGAGGAAGAGAGGAAGGTAAGAGTAGAAGTTTCGTGTTGTTTCAAGCGCGATGGTGAGATCGCCTCGTTTCTTATAGAAAATCGCTGACCCGAGATTTTGATTTCGTTTCTGTGTTCTTCAGCTGTGGAAGTTGTTAGGTTTGAATATTTTGTGAATGTATCAGAGATATATACGAATCTCTGGATATATATAGATACTTTTGTTTTAGATAGATTTTCTATTTCGGGTTTCCAATGTGATTAGATTTGCTTTATATTTATATTTTATTTCTATATATGTTATTCGGAGAATTATTCTGATTCTGATTGAAAAAGCATTGGCACAAGATTCTTCGAATTTCTTTTCGGATTTTGAATTCTGCGTGGCTCTGAGATTTTTCAGAGTCGTAGAAATTTGAAAACGATTCAGTTTTCCCGCACTTCGTGAACTTTCTCGGCTGCCAAACAGGAAACCGAAGCCAGTTATGCAAAGGCTTCAACACTTGGATCAGGATTTGAATTCCATTGCCGCTTCTTTTTGCAGGATTTTGCTAGGTACAGAATTTGCTGAAATCCGAAAGCTAAGGATCCAGAAGCGGAAAATTATCGGATTATCTCATTGAGTTTCTCGGTTGCTAGTTCAATGGCGTTGGGGTGGAATCCTCTACTGACAAACATGTTTGGATCCGACCACTCTTCGGTCGTGTCCATGAACCTGTTCGTGGCTCTGCTTTGCGGCTGTATCGTGCTTGGCCACTTGCTAGAGAAGAGCCGGTGGATGAATGAATCCATCACCGCCCTTATCATCGTACGTTCAATATCTCCACGCACATTGCATGTACACATATATATAACTGGATTGCACAAGAAACGGCTACCGATCGGTTTTAAGAGTATGTGTCTTAGAGGTGGAAATTGCCGATGAATTGCAGGGCTTGTGCACTGGTGTCGTGATCTTGCTTATTAGCGGAGGGAAGAGCTCGCGGATTCTGGTGTTCAGTGAGGATCTGTTCTTCATTTATCTCCTGCCCCCGATTATATTCAATGCAGGGTAAGTTTATAATGGTTCAGGGCATGGAAAACAACGTGTAAGGAATTGAATTCGGTTTCTGAGCAATTCCTTTTCCAGGTTTCAGGTGAAAAAGAAGCAATTTTTCCGCAACTTCATGACCATTATGCTCTTTGGTGCTGTTGGAACTCTGATCTCATTCGTCATCATATCACTAGGTATCGAAATCGCCACTCTTACATGGTTTTTCTTGCATCGATAGCTCGGTTAAGCGAATCAATGAATATGTTTTGACGGGATTCACTAATGTTTTCGGTTAGGTGCTATGCATTTTTTCAAGAAGATGAATATCGGGTATCTCAGCATGTCGGATTATCTAGGTAGCCGAAATATTTCTTTTCTTTCGTTCTTTCTTTCTTGTTCATAAAACTCCGTACCTTATTCAACGCCTTGCACCAATCTGATTGCAGCCATTGGAGCAATATTCTCTGCTACAGACTCTGTCTGCACCTTGCAGGTATGAAAATATTCAGACAAACAAGAAATCAAAATCTATAAAACAACTAATCTTGCGACTTGTAACGGAAGATGGTGAAACTTTTTCGGGGGTATAGTAGCTGTAGAACAAAAGGGGAGTTCATGAGCGTGATTCCGTTGTTTGTTCAGGTGTTGAATCAGGACGAGACGCCTCTGCTGTACAGTCTGGTTTTCGGGGAGGGAGTAGTAAACGACGCCACATCGGTCGTGCTCTTCAACGCGATACAGAGATTCGACCTCTCACACATCAACTCAACCTTCGCCCTGAAATTTGCGGGGAACTTCTTTAATCTCTTCTTCTTAAGCACCTTTCTTGGAGTTGTTGTAAGCTTCTTTGCCTATACACACATCCATGATACATACTCTGCTCCTGTCCTGATCCATTCAATTTCTCATCATCCCTTCAGGCTGGATTGCTCAGTGCTTATATTATCAAGAAGCTCTATTTGGGAAGGTATACATATATATACACACACACAAACATGCCTATATATATGTGTGTGTATAAAGTGGTAATGGCAGTTTCTTACAGTTTCCTGTGATTCTTGCAAATATCAGGCACTCTACGGATCGTGAAGTTGCTCTGATGATGCTAATGGCTTACCTTTCATACATTTTGGCTGAGGTAAGACAAAGAACATCCGCTACTTTTTCCGGCACAATCCTTAGGCAATGTACAGTTTCTAACGAGAACCTGACAGGAAAACGAACATGTTCTGTTTTTTTTTTTAGCTGTTCCAATTAAGCGCTATCTTGACCGTGTTCTTCTGCGGGATCGTTATGTCTCACTATACATGGCACAACGTGACTGAGAACTCAAGGGTCACTACTAAGTAAGGCTTTCTTTTATAAGTCTTATGATGTTTTTCCGGAAGAAACATGTGTTTTGTCCTGGAGGATATGAAAAGATTTCCCATAAACATGAAACATTTGGTTCCAAGATTCAGTTTCAAATCATCAAGAATGTTAACATAACAGATAAAATGTTCAATCTTTCTTTATTGCAAACGCTATATATAGATGCCGCTAATGTTTGTTTATCCCTCGTTTGATGCTTGCAGACATGCCTTTGCCACACTGTCGTTTGTAGCCGAGATTTTTATCTTTCTTTACGTTGGCATGGACGCTATGGACATCGAGAAGTGGAACGTTATACGCAACAGGTGAGGTGATCACGAAGATAGAACATATATATATATAACCTTAAAACTTAAGCTTTGATCAGAAAAATATTTCAGATTTCATGTTCATCCTTTTCTTTTTACAGTGCTCCCCAATCGGTTGGAGTGAGTTCGATTCTTCTGGGACTCATTCTTCTCGGACGAGCAGCCTTTGTTTTCCCGTTATCCTTCCTATCCAACTTGACTAAGGCCTCTCCGGAAGAAAGAATCGACTGGAAAAAGCAAGTACGGACTCGAGCAAATGATGGCTTTTACAGCATATATTGCTTCAATCCCATCGAAATTTGATACTGATGATCTTTTCAGGTTACGATTTGGTGGGCTGGTCTGATGCGAGGTGCTGTATCCATGGCTCTTGCTTACAATCAGGTATCAAACATGAACCACAGAATTCGATGGATGAACAATATCTCAGGACCAAAACCGGTTAAAAAATCCAACATTCTTCATCTATTTAACCGATATATCATCTCTATACGCAGTTCACAAACTCGGGCCACACCAAGTTACTAGGAAACGCCATCATGATCACCAGCACGATCACCGTCGTTCTTTTCAGCACAGTGGTACGTATGTTGCAAATTCTTGATCTTCCACTCTGATGCACACTTGACCATATATTGTATGATTTCGATTTGTATGAAAGACAGCGTTTTCGCAATACCCGCATCGAGTTTTCTAACACAGGATTCCAAAAGCTACAACCTTTTTTTTATGTCAATTCGTAAATACGTTTACTCTCTATGATTCTCAATTTTTTGTCCGAAACCAAATGCAGGTGTTTGGAATACTAACGAAACCGCTAGTGAAATACTTGCATCGTCCTCCTCAGCCGTCCATTCCTGTATCGTCTTTCCACGAGCCACTGCTCAACGGCTACGGCCACGACCACGACCACGACCACTACCAATCAGACTACAACATCTCTCGTCCGACCACTTTGCGTACCTTTTTCACCACTCCGTCTCGAACGGTCCACTATTACTGGAGACAGTTCGACAACGCGGTCATGCGTCCGTTGTTTGGCGGCCGTGGTGTGTCGCCTTTCGATCCCGGTTCGCCGATGGAGACCGGCGTTCGAGAGTGGCCGCAAGGAGGAGAAACCAAGCAACAGCAAGAAGGTGATCCATGAAAACTCCACGAGAAAAGACTAGGTCGTTTTGACTGGCTACTGCGTTTCTCGGCGTTTGAAACGCGGACGCGAAATGGACCGGCTTTTATTTAATCTTCTCCAGTTTTGGTATTGGTTTGTGGGGAGTTTCCCGGTTTGGGTTTGGGTTTGGGTTTGTGGTGTGATTACTGCTAGCCGGTCCATTTTTTTTTTGGGTTGGGTTTTGGGTTAGAATTTTTTTTTTTCTAATTCTTTATGAAATAGGTTTGTAGGTTAAAGGTATAGTAGTCTGGCTACTGCGTCCGACGGCAGACGTCAAAAACTGCGTCTGCGTTCGGAAAATACACGAGAGTGCGTTTGGGAACGCACCGCGTTTTTTTTGGGCGGGTTTGTGATGCACGGTTTGATACTTTGCTTATACGAATTTCTGAATGATATAATTTAATTGTCAAGAAAAAAAAACTAATCAAAGGGTTTTATTCTCTATCTTTTGCAATGTAATCCATAAGGAAAAAATTTATTAAGTTTTTCTTTAGATTGATTTTATAACTTAATACCTTGATTAATACATATTAGTCATGCAACATTGATGTGATGATGATACTACTGACACTCTACTCGAGATAGAGGCTTTCGCATTTGTTAAACCCTCTTTTCCTTCTAGAGTCTTCGGAAACCGTAGCTTTTACTTTTAGCTTGCATTTGAGGCTGAACATTCATATGTATATTAAGAATTAAAAAAAAAACATGTAATATATATACATTTGTAACGTTATTATGATTATTTTACGGAATTTATGAAATGGTGAATTTCAGGATGCTCCCACTGAGGACCAACACAACACTTGTGGGGATAAAGAAAAGTCATTTATTTATTAAATTAATAGCATACCATTATAAATTGAATTGCATAGAGAATTTACATCATTTTAGATTTTATATATGGGTTAAATTATTTACTTTTTAGACATTGCAATATATACATTGTTTTTGAGTAATAAAATGTGAGAATAACTGCATTAATATAATTTGATATTATATATGATACAAGAATAAAGATTAAAAAATTTAAAAAATAAAATAAAATTTAAGGAAAGAAAAAGAGTGCGCTTTCTGCTTTGCCCACCAGCAACCCACATGCACTAACCCATCTGGCAATTTTGGAATTATGCAATTATTCGCCCGTCTGTGTTTTAATGGATTGTTGATCTATGTTTTTTACACTTTGTCAAAAAAAATTATTATTTTTGTTATTCAGTCTCTCTATTTTTAACTATGATCTTTAACATGACAAAAGCACCGTATAAATATTTATTAAAAAAAATGTCAAAAATGCCAAAAAATAATAATAATAATAACTCATCGAAATTCACATTTCGAATTGAAATCAAATTATTATAGTAAATTAATATTGATTTACACACTATAATTTGCTCCAATCACACCACGCCTATGAGATCAAAATCACCTATGATCTATGCAGATCCATTTTTTTTTTAAATTTTTTTAGCGTGATTAATAAATTTCTCTTTCCAATTTCAACAAAAGATGGTAAATAGGCTTTAGGTCCTTCGTTGTTATTACCTTTTTCAAAGGCAACAATAAGAACCCTATACTTATTAAAACCTTGGCAAGTTCTTTAAATATGCAAAGCAACATTATGTTAATTTTGAAACATATATATATATAAATCATGCTTTTCCAAAAGGTCCTTTATGAAAAAGCAATATGCAGAAACAGACAAATGAAATTCACCTAATCATAGATTCTCTTAATTATTTTTTTGGAATGCATGTTAATTAATTGACATAATTGTCATATATTGTATAATATACTATTTGTTCACATATTGTTTGAGGTAGTTGTGATATATACAATAGGCGTATACATAGATGTTGAAAAGAAAAAGTGATCATAGATTTACACTATTGGTCATTCAAATGTGTATGAAAATGCACTCAAATGTAAAATACCATATATATATATATATAGTAACATAGATATATATGTATGTATATATATATAGTAACTTAAATAATGCAACTGAGCTCAAACGTTACTGTTGTCACAGTTTTTGGTTACCCTTTATTTTATTTGGTACAGTGAAAAATTCAATGATTGTAACAGCAAAGATTCACATTCTCAAGTTTTTTTTTTTTTTTTTTAAAAAGGAAATTTCAACAAAAAAAAAAGGAGAGGAGTAGAAGAGGAGCGTAATACAAAGAAAATTACTGATTGAAAATCAAAGAAAAATTATTTAGTTTTGGAACAAAACTCATGATGAAAAACAATATGACAGAGGGGGAGATACATACATACATACATCATCTCTATATATAGATCAACATCGTCATCATCATCATCATAACACCGAAGCGCCAAGAAGCTGAGTGCAGAAAAACAACGCGGCGGCGGCGGCGGAGACAGCTCCGGTGACTCGACGCGGCGGAGCAGGAGAAGAAGCCGGCGGAGAAGCAGCGGGGGCGAAGGCGGGATCGGGGTCGGCGAGGTCGGTGTCGGGGTCCGGAGGGCTGGGGGAGGAGGGGATGGTCGGAACAGCGGAGGAGCCGTCGGCGGAGGGATGAGCCCCGCCGGGTGAAGGGAGGAGAGGCGCGATCTCCGGGGAGAGTTGCTCGAAGGGAGAGATCGTCGGGGAAGACGGGATGGCTGTCGGAGAAGAAGAATGAGAGAGAGATGGCAGCGAGAGAGAGATGGTGGTGGTGATGAGTGTTACCAGAACAAAAGAGGAACCCATTTGTTTTTTTTTTTTTTTGATGCAATGATGAACAAATCAAAGTGATCTCCTTTTTTTTTTTTGTTCTCTCTCTCTCTCAACTGATCAGATTGCGTTTGTGGAGCAATGATACTGTCTCTATAAAGAAACCTTTTTTCAGAAAAAAAAACTTTTTTTTTACATAAAAAAGTAGTTTTTGGAGGGAAAGGAACAATCTTGTAATGAACCTAGAAGAGGGCATTCATAGGATTTTTATTTTATATTCAAGGCATGTATATATACATACATATATATATATATATGCGTAATTTTAAGTTTTAGCTTGAGTTTTGTTTTTTTTTTTTGCAATGATTTTCGCAATTTTTGTTGGATGAATATGAAAATGATTTCCTTTACTCGTTACGAGAAGAAATTCAATGGTAATTCTCTTTCTAAACTTGAATTTCAGTATATATTTTATATAAATTATAAATATTGTCAACATTCTATAGGATGCCGTATTTCTGTGATTTTACTCCTCCAAATCATATTTGGCTTTGTGGTGGATACCACGTGGCGTTATTCTATTGGTTGTAGAGTTTAAGGGAAAATGATAAATTTGTTTGAAATTTTTTGGGTGTTGGTTAAAGTGGAGATTGTAATGCTAAAAAAGATAATATCCTTCATTTTTTTAATCATAAATATAATAAAAAATCACTATAAACTCCAAAATTTATAATCGTATAACAAAATTAATGTGTTATCACATTTAAACTAAAATTAATTTTGTTTTGTGTGAGACAGATGAGCTACGGATGAATTCTTTTGTAATTTCTTAATTTGATTTTCTTTTTGAGAGTGGCTGTATTGGGTGGGGACTAGAGTGGAGGGAATGGTGGTCTTGTTGACAGGTGGCATGTTCTTATAGGTGGAAACGTTGTGATAGTATATTTACATTATTTTTAATTTTGTATGCATCATCCAAAAAAATTCGAATTTTCAAAGTAATGTATTGTTATATGTCAATGCACTATTAGTTTATTTATATATATATATATATATAGATTCTTTGCAATAATCACATGACATGACACGACTAAACCAATATTGTACACGTAAATAATTTGTGCTTTAAGTTACCATATGAGATAATATAAAATAATGTCATCATTTAAAGAAAATAATGGGTCTTGGCAAAATGTGCAAAAAAAAAAAAAAATGTATATTTGCTAGGTGTCCAACGTTTCCTCTTATATGTACATATAATTATATATAAACCAAATTCCGGATCCGATTTTACAAAACGGCTAGATTTAATTTTTAAAAACAAACTAAAGAAAATTGAACCAAATATAAAAATAAAAAATCATAATAAAATATAGAAAAAATCCCATATTCCATTTGCCAAAATGAATTATTAATTTGACAAGAACTTACATCCAAATTCGAAAATTTCCAAATTTCCACACTAATTCGGTAAATTAATTGTAATGTCCTACACATCAGTACACGACGTGAAACGTTGAGGTGTTCCGTTAAAGTCCCCGCTGATTTGGCAGGACACGTCAGAAATAATGTACACGTGTATATGCCATGTTTCAAATCTTAAAACCCGAAAATCTGAAAAATTAATCCGGATCGGTAATTTGATAGCCAAGGAAATTGAAAAAAAAAAACCGAAAGAAAAAAAAACCTAAAATCCCTAACCCTATCGCGACATTCACTCTCCTCACTCTCCTCTCACTCTCCTCTCACTCTCCCCAAATCCCGGCGACTGCGGCGCGACGCCCTTTCCCGGCGAGTCCCTCTTCCGACGCAACAATGAGATAATATAAAATAATGTCATCATTTAAAGAAAATAATGGGTCTTGGCAAAATGTGCAAAAAAAAAAAAAAATGTATATTTGCTAGGTGTCCAACGTTTCCTCTTATATGTACATATAATTATATATAAACCAAATTCCGGATCCGATTTTACAAAACGGCTAGATTTAATTTTTAAAAACAAACTAAAGAAAATTGAACCAAATATAAAAATAAAAAATCATAATAAAATATAGAAAAAATCCCATATTCCATTTGCCAAAATGAATTATTAATTTGACAAGAACTTACATCCAAATTCGAAAATTTCCAAATTTCCACACTAATTCGGTAAATTAATTGTAATGTCCTACACATCAGTACACGACGTGAAACGTTGAGGTGTTCCGTTAAAGTCCCCGCTGATTTGGCAGGACACGTCAGAAATAATGTACACGTGTATATGCCATGTTTCAAATCTTAAAACCCGAAAATCTGAAAAATTAATCCGGATCGGTAATTTGATAGCCAAGGAAATTGAAAAAAAAAAACCGAAAGAAAAAAAAACCTAAAATCCCTAACCCTATCGCGACATTCACTCTCCTCACTCTCCTCTCACTCTCCTCTCACTCTCCCCAAATCCCGGCGACTGCGGCGCGACGCCCTTTCCCGGCGAGTCCCTCTTCCGACGCAACACCTGGCCAGGCGACGGCCTGTTTCGGCTCGACGCCCTCCCCCAGCGAGGCTTCTTCCGGCGTAACACCCTGTTTCGGCGCGATATCCTCCCCTGGCGAGGCTTCTCGTCCGGCGCGAGACTGTGCCCAGGCGACGGCCTGTTTCGGCGCCACGAAACTCGGCTCCTCCGACTCGACGGTCTCCTCGGCGAAACAAAACCCCCGAGTCTCGCATGTCCGATACTCTCTTCCCTTACACTCCCCCCTATGGTACTCTCTTCCCCGCGATCGTGGGTTTAGGGATTTTAGGATTTTTTTTTCTTTCGTTTTTTTTCAATTTCTTTGGTTTTCAAATTACCGATCCGGTTTAATTTTTCAGATTTTCATGTTTTAAGATTTGACACGTGGCATATACACGTGTACATTATTTCCGAAGTGTCCTGTCAAGTCAGCTGAGATTTTAACGGAATACCTCAACGTTTCACGCTGTAATGATGTGTAGGACATTGCAACGAATTTACCGAATTAGTGTGGGAATTTTGAAATTTTCGAATTTGGATGTAAGTTCTTGTCAAATTAATAATTCATGTAGGAAATTGGTACATTTTTTGACAAATCTGTGGGGGAATATGAGATTTTCCCTAAAATATATAGTAGTTTTTTGCAAGTAGAAAAATGTTTATTTGCAATTTGCAGACTATACATTTTTTTTTTGAAAATATCAAGATTACATTAAAAAATGTGAAAAGTTAATTTACGTTAATCTCCATTTTTTAAAGTAAATCTCTTAATTTTCTCTCTTTAGCATCCATGTAAAATCTTTAAATAACCATAACATTTTTTTAATCTAAATTCGTGTACGGAATGCATTAAACTAGTTTTCACCGTAAAAAACGTTTGGTAACATATGAAATCCATATGAAAATGCATGAAAATTCATATGAATTTCATCCAGAAAACATACAAATTTTGTTCAAAAACGGATGAAAAATGCCATAAATTCGTTAAGGTTGAATTTTTTTCACAATCTTATTCAAAAAATGGTAATCTCAAATTTATTAAATGGTAAAATTTTTTTCCCCTCAAACTTAGTTAAATAAATCAAAAAATTAAAACATTTAATGCTAATAAATATTTTTAGTTCACAATAGAAAACATATAATCAAATTAGCGGGAGATCCCATTGATGTAGAACTGGTTCAGTTCAGAATACGACTGTTGTATCGGTTTTGGGATTAGAGAGAGAATGTGGGCTAGGGGTGGGCGCGGGTACTTGAAATCTGCGGGTTTTCGAATACCGATCTCACGGGTACTTGAAATACGGGTACCCTTTATATAACGAAGACGGAAACGAGGTTGATAAAGCCGAAAATCTGGATTGGGGTTCGAGTCTGGGTTTTATTTGAATGGCGACGGGTACCTTCGGGTATCCGTATACGAATAAAATGGCGATTATATCCATGATATTTTGATATATTTATGATAATTATTAAAAATATTTTATATTAAATTACTAAAATACACTTAAACTCAACAAAAGTCAACGTTTTCTAAATAATTGGATGGGTTCGAGTATCCTCGGATAATCGAATTCATCGACGGGTATCCGAATCACGGGTACCCGGATTTCACGGAAACGAAAACGAGATAATGTTTTCTCAAAACCCGCAAAGATGAAGACGAAGTCCGGATACCCTAAAACTCAGGGTATCCGACCCGTGCCCAGCCCATTGTGGGCATGGAGAAGTAAAATTGAAAAGTGAAACCCTAACACAAAAACTCAATAATGTTCAAATAAAATATTTAGAATTTTTTAAATCATGCGCTCATGTTCTTGTTCTTGTCGTTGCCATAGTTTATTTTAAATATTTTAAATATTTATAAAAAATTATTTTTATTCAATTATTATATATATTTTTTGAGTTCAATTAATTTTTTCTGTTATTTTGATTCAGCTAAATTTGGTTTTATCGGTTCGCTTTCTATTATAGATTTTTTCTTTTATTCTTTAAATATATATGTTCGATTGATTCTCATTGTATTTGGTTCGTTATCTGGGTTTACTTTTTCTCTTTTTTTTCTTCATGTTTTAAAATATCAAATATCAATTGTTTATCTTTATTTTATACCATTTAATTTTAAACCATAAAATAAAATTGAAATAAAGCGTATTCAATAGGTTTGATACCGTTAAAGGATAAATTTAAAAACCAAATAGTGTATAAACAGTTAAAATAGTTAAGATATTTTTATAGTTCATATTCTTAAAAATTAATTTTTTTAAATATTTGGATACTCTAGTTAATTTAATTGAAAATGTTATATTTAATATCTTTATTGAATCAAGATACAATTACTTATCATTTACTTTGATAGATTTCCATCTATTTTGAAACTAACCAAATTCTTATTACGAAAAAGCAATTTGGCAAAAGATAGAGGACTTGTTTGCAAATAACAGAAATATCAGACCAAAATAGCCTTGAAGTTGCCGGAAATTACAAGAAGGCAACAACATCATAGATGGCGTTTTTCCCCCGTTCAGTGAGAAAGAGAAGGGAGTTCAAAAAAATTTCCTGCATCGACGTGAGCCATTTCTCTCCTCCGTTCGTCTTCCTCTCTCTCTCTCTCTCTCCCCCACAAAATCCTGGAGTGATCCGTCTTCTCTCTCTAAGGTTCGTCTCTTACTCACTCTCCCTTTGCCGAGACTGCATCAGGTGCGGCTCTTGCTTGCATTCGACGATCTGCCTTCGTTTTTGTCGAAATTCGAAATTGTTGTTCTCTTGTCGATCGAACTGTTCGAATGTTTTTCGTTCGTGTTGCTCCCGTGAACTGTTCCCTTTCTTGTTTTGCTATTGGCATCTGAGTTCGGCGTTGAATCCGGCTGTCGGGCATCGCTCGGTGTAGATACATGTTTAGGGTTTTGGTTTTTGTTCTTCTCGAAGTGATTTCGTTTCTTTGGGATTAGAAAATTACAAAAATACCCTTTATTTTTAATACATTTACGAGAATATCAACCCCTGACCTAACCCTAACTCTTCACTCTCGTCCTCATTGTCGCCACCCTCAGGAGTTACAGCCTCTGTCTGACGAAATCTCTCTCCTCTCCGCCTTGGCCTTGCTCTCTCTCACTCTCAGTTTGGTCTCACCTTGCTCGGATCCACATCACGGTAAGTGTTCTGCATCGATTTGATCTGCCGTGATGTTTTTGTCTGTACCCTGACGGTGATATTTTTGTCTCCCCGCGATTGAAACCTGGGTCTCTCATGTTTCTGCTCTTTTGTTCTTAATCTTTCTTAGGGGTTATCGATTTTGTCTGCTTGGCTTATACAATTTCCTCAATGCGAAATGAATGGTGGTCTTTCCCGGTATTTTGTTGGAGATTTTTCTGTCAAAGATTATACTTTTTCAGCGGCATCGATTGTTGTGTTTAATAATCTAGATCCAGTTTATATGTGTTCAGTTTTGTGGTATTGTAGTTGTGTCCATTTCGCAGCTTGAATTAGAACAGATGGGTTGATTGATTGTCTTTTCCTCCGTGTTACAGGTTATTTTTTTTAATTATACACGGGTTCGGGTTTCACGGGTACCTGGTCTTGTGTTGCGGGTATCCGGGTTTCATGAGAAAGAGACCGAGACATTCCCATCAAAACCCGATGAGACCGAGACCAAGGTAAGGGTACCCTAAAAAGTCCGGGTACCCGTCTGTGCCCACCCCTAGCTCTGTGTAGAAAAATTTATCTGACCGGGACTGATGTTTCTTTACCAGGAGGCAGGAGCCCACCATAGGTGAAATTGCGAACCAATTGTCTCCATCTCGGGTTTTGGGGGAATGTATTGAGACCTTCATCGTGTTTGGATTTTCCTTGGCTCGTGTCAGTTCTGTCTGATAATGAGCATCAACAAAGATGAGGCTCTTAGGGCCAAAGACATGGCTGAGGGTTTGATGCGAAAGGCAGATTTCAGTGGCGCTCGGAAACTTGTGTTGAGGGCTCAAAAGCTGGACAGCAGCCTTGAGAATATCTCCCATATGATAATGGTATGTGATGTGCACTGTGCTGCGGCAGAGAAGATGTTTGGTAATGAGATGAACTGGTATGACATCCTTCAGGTTGAGCGGAAGGCAGATGTTGTTACGATCAAGAAACAGTACAAGAAGCTCGCACTTCTGCTTCACCCCGACAAGAATAAACTGCCCGGAGCTGAAGCTGCTTTCAAATTGATTGGCGAAGCTCAGAGAATACTTTTGGATAAAGATAAAAGGTCACTCTTTGACATGAAACTCAATTCCGTGAACAGACCTGCACCAGCACCATCATATTTTCCTCAACAGGTTCCGAGATATTACACTCAGCCTGTTGTCCAGACGAATCATAATACTTGGAGCAACTTTGCAGGATCCAGATCCCGAAACTTTTGGACCTCATGTCCGTTTTGTCGCACGAGGTATGAATATGCGAGGGTACATATCAACAAACTTGTCAATTGTCAGAGTTGCACAAAGGTGTTTACATCTCTTGAAATCCCTTGTCAAGGTGCTCCAAGGGCCAAAAGCTCAGTTCAAACAAATTTCTCCTTTCCCCAACAGAAAAATGTCCCAACCCAAGGCATGAGCCAAGCAACTTATGGTTTTCCCCAACAGCAGGATGTTCCGAATCAAAATCCATTCAGTGCAGGGCAGAATAATCCACAGACATCCTCCTCGCATTGCCCTGAAAAAGACGGTGTACCTGTTAAGGTTGGTGCTGGAAACATCAGTGGGAAGAGAAAGAAGATAGTTGAATCCAGTGAAAGCTCTGACTGTGAAAGTAGCAGCGAGTCTGAAGAAGATATTATAATCGACGAGACAGGTGATGTTACAGCTGGACAAGGGTTGGGATCTGTTGGGGGACAGCAGCCTCGGAGGTCTGTACGTAGCAAACGCCGTGTTTCATATAATGAAAATGTTAGTGACGATGACGACAACATTGTAGAGCAAAATCAAGAAGGGTCCAATAAAAATGGGGATGCAAAAGAGGCAGAAGAGTCGGGAATTCGAAAGCAATCAGATTGTTCCTCCAATGGAACCTTGCCAAATGGTAAAAACAGGAACAAGAAGTCAACAGAAAAAGAAAATGGCCAAGTGGGAGCCTCTGGGGTAAGCTCCGAGGATTCTGAAGTTAAGATAAACTCTGTTTCTCATGACTCTAAGAAGGATACAATGTCAGAATGTTCAGAAGAACCAAAGATTCTGGAATATGCTGATCCAGATTTCAATGACTTTGATGAGTTGAGGGAAGATCGTAAGTTTGTAGTTGGCCAGATCTGGGCTATTTATGATACACGTGATGGAATGCCTCGATTTTATGCTTACATCAGAAAGGTTTTTACTTCTCGTTTTAAGCTTAGTATCACGTGGCTAGAGACAGAACCGGATGATGACAACGGAATTTCATTGGATAACGCAGACTTGCCTATAGGGGTTGGTAGATTTGTGTTTGGGAACAGTGAAATCACGGTGGATCGTCCCATGTTCTCTCATGTGATTCACTGTGGAGGAATAATAAACAAGAAGTCTTGTCGGGTTTTACCGAGAAAAGGGGAGACATGGGCTCTCTTCAAGAACTGGGACATCAACTGGTCAACTGACCCGGGTGATTCTCCTCGTGGATTTGAGTATGAATTTGCTGAGATCTTATCAGATTATTCCAAAGCGGCTGGTGCATCTGTTGCATTATTGTATAAAGTGAAAGGATTCTCAAGTGTTTTCTGTCGGATGGCTAAGGGTGGATCAGACACATTTCAGGTTCATCCTCTTGAATTATACCGATTCTCCCACAGTGTTCCATCATTCAGGCTGACAGGTAAAGAACGAGAAGGCGTGCCAGAAGGTTCATATGAACTTGACCCGGCTGCTTTACCACAAAACATCGAAGAGGTATCTGTTTCTGTCCCTCCGAATGCATCAACAGTGCAGGTGGAATCAAGGCCGATGTCAACAACCCAGGATTCTTGGTCTTCGGACAGCATCATGATTCCTAAAACCTGGTTCAAAAACTTCAATACTGATAAATCGAAGGAAAAGTTTCAAGTTGACCAGATATGGGCATTGTACGGAAAAGAGGATGCCTTACCCAAGAACTATGCCAAGATTCAGAAAGTGGAACGAAATCCGGAAGGCCCAGAACTTAAACTGCAGATAAGCTGGCTGGAGCTGAAGTCTCTGCCAGAGAATGTCATCGAGTGGCATGACAGAAATATGCCCGTCTGCTGCGGAACTTTCGGCTTAAAGAAAGACCGGTTGGACACGATTACTGACGTGTCTGCTTTCTCGCATGAGCTGGAAACGGAATCCTCGTGGGAAAGGACCGAGTTCACCATCCTCCCCAAGGGCGGCGAAGTTTGGGCGATGTACAAGAACTGGAGTGACCGAATCAAAGTCTCGGACTTGAAGAGCTCGGAATACGACATTGTAGAAGTACTTGATGTGAATGAAAGAGAATACGGGGTTATGACGTTGGAGCGCTTACGCAGGTTTGGCACGGTTTTCAAGAGAAGATCCGAGGCGAGAAAGACATTTCCGATATCCGAGCTGCTGAGATTCTCCCATCGAGTCCCGTCCTTTAGGTTAACCAGGCAGAAAAGTGGCACTCTGAGGAACTGCGTCGAGCTCGATCCGAAGGCTTTGCCCGGAAGCGTCTTCAGTTCATGACTCTCTGGATGGTTCTGTTAGGGTTTTGAGATTAAAAGATGTGAGCTTCACCGGAATTAGTGACGTGAAGTCATCAGTTTAATTTGCTGAAGCATTGCCTGTATAGGTTTTCGTTAGCTTATGGCTCGTAAAGCCCGTGAAATTGAAGAGATTCTGGAAAGGAATGGACGTTTGCCAATCCTACTAATTAAGAATATCGTGCGGGAGTTGACATTTGTTGTGGTGCGATTAACTCAAGAACGCGTGCTGTTTTAGAATGCAAATAACAGCAGTACGTTCGTGCCAAGATACGGAAAACAGCGCGATGTTCGCACTTGGATCAAGAGCTTTTCAACTCCACAACAAAATAACAACAAAACCTCTCTCACATCGCCCATTTAAGAAGACACCCCGTTTAAGATCTGTTTTGGAAGGACACCAAAAAAAAGAGAGAAAAACAAAATACATTATCTACAAGTCACCAGTTCCAGTAGAATCTTAACTTCTCGGCAGTTCTGTTCTTCCAGAACACAGGCTCTAAAGGACAAGAAAACAGAGACCTAAACTGGATCCGAGTTCTGCGTGGTGACGCGTACACGCCACGCGAAATAATGAAGGTACAAAGAGTTTAGGCACACCGATATCCCAAACCCTAGAATCCCCGATAACATGATCGCGTAGATTGCTGATATCCCGAGCTGAAACAATAACATCATTTTTTCCAAATGAGTAATCTTTGCCGGTGCTTATAATCCGTCAATGGGAATGATGATCACATTTTATGGAAAAGGGTATTCCGATTTTCGAGTCATTATTGAAAATTTTTACGTACCGTGGCATATAACAGATGAGAGAACATGCCCACCAGTGCAAACTCGAGGGCTGCGTACGTCCATATGTATTCTCTGATAGCTGCAGGTTTTGGATAAACAATCACAGTTTCGAAATTTTCAACCACCAGAAAAGAAAACAAGGGAAAGACTTTGGAGTTTCTGAATTCTGTGGCTGTGATTCTTTACCAAGAATGATTGCGAAAACCGATGCTAAGAGTCCCAACGTAAATGCAAATGGCGCTGCGATGAAGATAGCCTCCGTGTTCAAGTCTCGAATCTACAAAAAATCATAAATTTTCATCACATATTTGCAAAAAACTTAATCTAGCTAATAAACAGAACAAAAGGCCGATGATTTGTGATTGTTATTACCAGTAATTGCTCAAGGAAGAAGAAGTAGCAGACGGTGCTAATTAGAACGAGCACGACAAACTCTTGCCAGGCGCTGCAAAAACCGTCTACTCATCAAACATTTTCCTCCCCACGAGCCAACAAAAGATATTTTTTTTACCTGACGGATTGTGACTGCATATTCTGCTGACTGCGTTCACGTTGGTTGTTCAGTTGATTATTTGTCGGGACACGAAGCAAAGTCACGGGTAAGTTCTGGACTTCTTGTCTGCACACGTCACAGATTCTCGTCCCTTTCGTACTAAACCACCTGATGGCACATTCTTCGTGAACAAGCCTGAGGTCACCTTTGCAGCTGCATTCCATTTTCAGAGTGTTGCCTTCTTGGCAAACATCTAGACAGATCCTGCACACTGCTTCTTCCTCGGGAATTTCTTCATCGGTCTCTTCCGGAGGAACAGGAGTGATTTGATCCGCTGGAGAGAAAGAAAAGAAAGGAATTAGACATCGTCATACTCAGGAAGGTACATATAACATTACAGCTAAGATTTGTCTTTTGACGGATTTGCTGAGACAAGGAATCGGAAATTGCCACTCATTGATCAGAAGCTAACATGTAGTACGCAGAAAAAACACAGCTTATGAAACAATCTGTTCCTAATATCAATACCCACGTCTCAACTTTCTCGTGAATCCACCCATGCATCTTGTGGTTCAATTCAATTCAAAGGCAACCAGCAAAAAGCTCGAGACTTTCAGAGAATATTAGCACTATGATGCTTAATCAACTAGAAGACAATTCCATCAAACTAAGGCTCTAGTTATAAAAATGAATTGATATTAATGTCTTAAAGCATGTACCATCACTGGTCTCAGCCGAAGCATGCTCTTTGCGGTTGTCGAAAGAGACTGATCGTACAATAACTTTGTTTCTTCCGGGCATGGACAATGACCTTGAAACTGCTGGACGAACTGCATCTTTCTGCAGCAAAAAAATTATTTCTTTTCAATCAAAGAGCTGGGACAAGAAAAGAAGAATCCAGAGGAAAGAAAATTGGAGCTTCTACGCATGGGGGTCATCACCTCGGCAAAAGGAACTCTACTTTCCGATTAATAATGAAAGACCGAGGACTGAATTCCAACATGGGTTACTCACATTAGCTTTAGGTTGTTCAACTGGCACAGGGGTAGATATCACCGGAGACAATTTGGTGGCAGGAGTAGCAGGAAGTGAAGTGCATCTTTTCCAGTAAGGAAAACCTGATGAATCTGTGGTAGTGGAGCTTTCGGTAGAATTCATAAGACCGGGTGTTAGTAGGGAGCTACTCTCAGCATCGGGTAGAGAAACTTTCTTTTTTAAGCTTAAACTTCGTAAGAACCCTCCTGATGACGATGACCCGCTTCCTTTGAATGAAGTGAGTGATTTCAGTGAACCTTTTGGGTTCCAACCGCTACTAACCGCAATGGGCCTCGGAGGAATTTGGACTGAAAGATCCTGGTGCCTTCCGTCTGGTCCAGAACTCGGTATGCTTCCACTAGGCTCTTCTTTAACCTGATGATCAAACTATTAGTAACATAACATGTGTTCATCAAAGTTCATGAATTTCTCATCCACAAATCTAGGACGGAACAAATCAGATTGCAATATCGTTCCTTGCTAAGGAAAGAAATACAGTATCGGCAATTCGAGCAACAACAGCACAATTCTCTACTTGCTTCCCAGGACGACGAACACACGAAATCTCGTGCCAGTCATTTCAGTTTCATAAAGTTCCTGAAACTCCGTAACCATTACATGGAGAAACACTCAGTTTTTAATGTTCATCAAAAGGGAAAATCTCTGCAATAACTGAAGAAGTCCCCAAGTCATAATTGAAAGATCTGAACACTAGATTGCATTTCCCAGAAATCCACATTCATCACAGCAAATTTCAGACCTTTTTCTTTTTTGTGGGTTTTGATAGTTCAGTTCTTCTTTCTCTATCTACAGCAGCATTCACGCAATCTCAAAGACGATTTGAGTACTTCAGATTCCAGACAAACGAAGCAAGAGGGAAAAGCGCAGAGATCACAGTCTTTTTGGCCTATAGACAGATGAACCCTAGATTTACAGAAACTCCCATGGCTAATCAGGCATCTCGACCTTCACACATGCTCATCCAACAAAATTTCCCAGATGAGAAAAAAAAATTAAAATTGGGGGAAAAAAGGAAGAAAACCCAGATACGTTCCTAGCTTATTTCGCAGATTCCGTCGTTAGATCAAGAATCAGATACAGACAGCAGAGAGAAAGTTATCAAATTTACCCCAAAATCCACAAAACCCAGAAGCTTCATTTGGTGGAAAAGTATAAAAGAAGAGACAAAAAAGGCCAGATTTTTCTTTTTGAATACCTGCGGAAAGGAAGAAGGGGAAGAATCTCCGGCGATTACATTGCGAGGTGGCTTTGTTGCCGATTCTAGCATCTTTAATCGATCGGACCAATCAAACCAAATAAATTATAAAAATCTCTAAGAAACCCTCGACAAATATTCTGCGAAGATAAGCAAATCTGAAAGATTTGAGATATTTGTCCTCCTATTTTTGGTTATTTAATTTTAGCTGAAGCCATGACTGACACACAGCAAGGAAAAAAAGGTGACACCTTTAAGCCTTATGTATTATGTATTGTGTGTATATACGTATTCAGTCCACTCGTTTTCTGATCTTTATTGCCCTTATCAAATTAAAAACGTTCAATCATTTTCTCATTCTTTTTCTAATGAATATTTTAAGCACTCTTGATTCCGAAGTCGCCAGGAAGATGACGAGAACGACCGATGTTCTTGTCATTTTCCGACACTTTCTCGGGAAAATATCACCCATGTTTTTCATCAACTACTGTTTTGGTACTCGTCTCTTTGTCCATATGCTCAGATACATCGGTATCTTCTTTTCATCAATTTACACACACACCGATGGTTATGGTATTACAAGAGAAAACCGTATCTTTCCATGAAATTTCGGAGTCAAAGATGTTGACTTCAGTTTCTTCCTTCAATATACAAAAGATTTCTATATATGTACATGTGTGTGCGCCTATATCCGCATGTATTTATAGATGAACTTACCAATTTTACAAGCTTTATGATTGGATCTTGATCATTGATTGTTCACTGATTTTGAATTCGGATCAGACCAGTAAACGAGTTTAAAATGTGCAATTTGGGATTACACTCACCACAGTATGATCATTCAGACAATCAACATTGCCCTGGAGAGGAATCTAAAGCAGCATTTGTATGCAAATGTAAGAAAGAAAGAAAAACTGATCAGATTGACCAGACAAAAGAGGTTATTATTGACATCACAATCTAAGTAAACTTGCATTAAGACAGGACACTACTACTACTGTGGTGAAAAGCAGCAGATTGGAAAAGTTTTTGATCAATGAGAGGCAGCTTAGGGTTGGAGAAGTTCCAGAATCCGAAAAGTTTATGACCCGGATTAAAGCTCGTAAATTCCGGATACCAGAACTCGGATTTCCACCAAATGTTCAGATATCTGTGATACCTGCAAGACGAAGAGACCGATGCGAGAAGGGCGAAAATGTGATTATCCAGACAATCAACGTTTACCTGGAGTGGAATCTACAGCAGCATTTGTATCCAAATGCAAAAAATGAAAGAAAAAACTAATCAGGTTGAGCTCACTGTCTAAGCAAACTTGGATTAAGACAGGACTACTAGCCTATTAGGGGTGAAAAGTGAAAAAGGTAGCAGATTAAGAAAGTTCATGATCAATGAGAGAGAGAGAGGCAACTTACCTTCTTCTTCGTCGTAGATGATGCAACAAAGGTCAGTAGAGTCCATCTTCTGCTCAAGTTCAGTAGAGCTCATCTTCTGATTAGTGAAGAGAAGATGGCGATTAACAATGGGGCGAAACTCGAGCTTCTCGAGAAGTTTCTCTCCGATCTTCCTCTTTACATCGAAGGATCCTGTCCCTGCAGCCGACAAGAGGCGTATGAACATGAATGTCTTCTTCGTCTTGTCCCCCATCTCTCTCCTACAAAACAACAAGAGAGAGAGAGAGAGAGACCCGAATCGTTTACAGAAGCCAAATGCCAAATTCAAAGTGGACAATTTCATAAGACACTGCAATTTTCCACCTTTAATACCCTCCAGAACCATACAACACAGATCAAATCAAGACCCTCTTTCGTGGGACACAATCAGAATTCGACAACGAAATAAACCCAATGCAAGGATACATCAACACAAATCCCTAATTTTTTACCCAAAAGAAAGCTCATCATTTTCGTTTCATCCCTAATTTCAACACTCGAATACGATAACAACTCCAATTTCCAATCACTTGAAAAAAATTATAGAAACATATGTCTTGTCACATGGAATTCCAAGCAACGACACCTATCGAACACGCTAACAGATACAAATCCATAGATCAGCAATACCAAAATCATCAAATCAAACGCAAAGTACGTATCTTTAAGTCCCAATTCAACTTATTATAAACCTTAAACCAATAATCAGATCGTAGGACGGCATGTTTTCTTACCAGTTCTACCAAAGATCTTTCTTCAACTCCAACTAGCAGAGACAGAGCACCAAAGCTTGCAGAATTGCAGGTTCTCGTGAACGAACGAACCCTAGAAACCGGGTTGGAGCTAGAGGAAGGAATTTGGGCTCAAGTTTCAAGCCCAAAACATATATATGCTATAACCAGTAAGGCCCTTTAAATTCCACTGGGCCCATTGTAATTTTTCTCTTTCTTGTTCTCCTCTTTCCTCCTCTCTCTACGCTCTCCGCAGAGAAGGCTCACGTACTACGTACTGATCCAAAGAAAAGGCGAGACGAGTTTCGCCATTGAATGTTCGGAATCTGAGTTACTTTAATGTGAATTTCTGGAATTTGATCATATTTTGCTCAAGGTCAAAGATTGTGATTGGATTCCATTGGAAGTTCTCCGTCTGATTCGTTTGGGTTAGGGATTTGGGGGAAAATCCGAGCGATGTCGAGTGCGGTGGACGATGCCGGCAAACCGATCCCGACGTCGGCGGTTCTGACGGCTTCGGCGAAGCACGTAGGAATCAGGTGCAAACCGGAGAACGTGGCGTTCCTAAAATGCAAGAAGAATGACCCTAACCCCGAGAAGTGCCTCGACAAGGGCCGTGACGTCACTCGCTGCGTGCTTGGCATGTACGTATTTATATCATTCTGCTTCCTTCGATTTGCAGGCTTAGCTAATCGCATTAGCTTATTAGCCTCCACGATACGTGTTTGTTTGTTGTTGATGGAGATAGTGAGTGTGAGTAAGTACTAAGATGTAGATTTAAGGTTCTGAACTGATCAAACAGAGTTCATCTGTAGAAATTAAGGGGTTTTTTGAGTTTAGATTAGGCATAGGCATGGAGGAATCTCATATAATCAAAAGGAGTACGAAATGGTTCGTATGTAATCAGTGGCAAGTGGCAATAGGCTCAACTAGGTCGAAAACAAGAGCTTAGATTCCGAACCATCATATTCCTGGAAGTATGGGATCATATCGAGCAAACCACATTCATATCGGGCATATTTTTCAGGTTGCCGTTGTCTTCTCGTACATCATAAGACTATACGGCCACCCAATGCAACATGTGAAGAAACTGCCAACTGATTTGTTGGGTATAGTGTCGAGTAGGAGATAACATGTTTCTTTGTCAGATTGGAACCCACATTCGTCGTGAAAGCCATTTGCTTCACTGGGAAGTTTGGTTTGTAGTCAGAACTTTATGGTGTTTATATTCATTTGTGGTTTGCTTTCTTGTTTTTATCAGTTGATAATAACAAGGAGCCCAATGCAATAGTCTACATCAACCAAGAGACATAGACTGATAGACACAGGTTGTTATACCGATATTAGAACCTCACTAGCTCTGTACATAAGAATCACTATCCAATGTCTGTTTAGCAGTTAGGGCCCAGTGGAAAGCAAGTGACTGAATGGAAGCCCGAGACACTGAATCGGGCACTAACTCATTAATTCAATCAGTTTGCTTGTTCGGTTATCTCCAAGTTGTGGCATTTGCATTTGCCCCAAGATACCGGGCTGTTTATACAGCGCTAACCCCCATTGGTTAGTCTCTAGATACGGGCCGTTGATCTAGTTGACATGTTTTGCATTTGCATGAAATGAATTTTATTTTTGGGGGGTGGGGTATGAATGAATGAAGAAAGATGTTAAATTTGGGTTGCAGGCTGAAAGATCTTCACCAGAAATGCTCGAAAGAGATGGACGCGTACGTTGGCGGCAATTGATTTTATCATATTCGGTTCGATCGCTCTTTCTATTTAGAAAGAACATCCTTTGCTCTGAACAAGTATTATTTTTTGCTCTAAGCAAATATTTAACTGAAACCAAGTAAAACTTGCTACGGGATGTAAATTGTAAAGTGGGTTTGGGCAAAAACACATTATTTTCTGGGGATTGGAACGACGTTGGACTAAGATAGATCGGGATTTTCCCGATTCTCTGTCATGTGACAGGTTTGGTGAATTTTCAGATTATTACCAAAAAAAATAGATCATATGTTATCTCGACATCGAAATTGGATTCTAACATTGTACAAAAAATTAAAAAAAAAATTATTGGTTATCTTTATTTTTAAAATTATCAAGTGTAACTGTAAACTATATTTCTAAACTTATTTTAAATTTGAACAAAGAGAAACCTTAAATGTTGGATATAATGATGAACATTTTTATTTTGAGGCATTGTTGGAACATCGTTTTCGTGGTGTGGGGAAGTCGCAAGACGGGTTCAATCATCGCAAAGTCTGGCGAATACTAACCTTCTAGATGTCTTAATTAAAAGGAAATATTGTTGATGAATAGAATACCTATGTTCATATATTTTGTTCCATTTTAAATATTCTTTTAATTAAAATTTTATTTTTCCAAAATTATATCTAATTATTTTTAAAAAAAATCAAGTAAGAATACGTAATTATGTTTAAATATAAATATTTACTATCCAACAAATTAGTGGGCTTTAAAATCCGGAAATTTTAAATAAAAAAAGATTAAAAAAATGTATCTCTCGTTTGCTTCGCCTTAGATGTTTAAATTTAACAGTAATTTCCAACTAATAAATCACGCTTTTTTTTCGTTTACTAAAAAATAGTACCACTATTAGGATATAATAATTGAACGTCACATGGAGGAATCTACACGTGTCGAGTTACTAATGGCTTTGATCATTGAGAAAGGAAAACAAATATCCGCCGTTATTATTGGAGCGAGCGAGTGACCGCGGTGAGTCGCGTCCCGAGTTGCAACCGTACGCCGTCGTTCCACTAAACAGCCAGCCGCGTCATTTCCACGCGATACTTTCTTCACCATCCACGTGTCACCAACGTAGCGCGTGTCTCTCACGCTTCGACCACCTCCATTAAACAAACAGCTGTCTGTTTTTTTTTTACTTACTGGAAATAATGCATAATTAACCAAATCATTTTTATTTTATTTTTTATGTACCTTTTAAATTTTTAATTTACCAAAACCCTTCAACCAATATCACCAACTTCTTTAACCACCATTGTCGCAGGTCTTCTTTTCTTTTTGATTTTTTTTCGTATCTCGCAACGGAGATGTCTTCTGCCTCGCGATCGTTGCCAGCGCAGGAGATGGAGCTCCAACAGCCGGCAATGGTGGATGATGATCCCTCGACGTTTGCCGCCTCCATTTGGGAATGGGGTGATCTCCTTGACTTCGACGTAGACGACCGGCTTCTTGTCTCCTTAGATTCCGATCAACCTCCGGCCGCTGCCGCTCCTCCGCCGCGTCATCCCACGGAATCGGAATTGTATCCTTCACCGGGTTCGGGTGAGGATCGGGTGAGGAAGCGGGACCCGAGGTTGACTTGTTCGAATTTCCTGGAAGGTAGGATCCCGTGCTCGTGCCCGGAGATCGACCAGAGATTGGAGGATAGAGAGTTTCCGACAAAGAAGCGGGTCCGGAGTGGTGGGCGTGGCGTGGCCCGGTGCCAGGTACCGGGATGCGAAGCGGATATAAGCGAGCTCAAGGGGTACCATCGGAGGCATAGGGTTTGCCTACGGTGCGCGAACGCGAGCTCCGTCGTGCTCGACGGAGAGAGCAAGAGATACTGCCAACAGTGTGGAAAGTATGTGGGTTATCAGTTATGAGAATTAAGCACGGAATCTAGAACTGAAACTTCTAATGGAATTCGAATAGCTCCTAAAATCTTACTGCTTTTTTGTTCGTTTGGATTTTTGAATTTGATAAGGCTTTATGGTTGAATTTGTAGCTTATTGATCTGGGAATTCGGGGTGAAATATCTCTTTGGTGCAAAATGGTGTACTATTGGGTTCTTGTGAGATATGGTGGCAGCTAATGTCGTGTATTGAAATCAGGAATTCTTGGTGAGCTCTAGGGAAAGGAATCGAAGAAGATCAGCTGGGTTGAAACTTGTTTTTGTTTGTCGGATCAGAAATCATATTTTTGCTTATTTCGTTGTTATGCCTCTTTGTTCAGGGTATAATGAACTGAAATATTGTTGGATTTTCTTTGTCAATAGTCGAATGGGCAGACAACTTGGCTTTACATTGTTGTATTGTATCGAGGAATTTCCTAGCTAGTTCTTGAGTTCATATGTCGGGGCTCCCCTGTTCCGTGTCTTACTACAAGAATTCCGTCTGGCAGGTTTCATGTGCTGTCAGATTTCGACGAAGGCAAACGAAGTTGTCGAAGAAAGTTAGAGCGCCACAACAACAGGCGAAAAAGAAAACCTGTGGATAACGGAGGTGGGTCTAAAAAGCAACAGCAAGCAAATATGCAGAATGAGAACAGCGTAATTGATGTTGATGATGGAAAAGGTCTCATTGTGTTGATTCTTCGTCTTAGTTGCTTGTTTCGTATGAGTTTCACCAGAAGTATGTACTCCTGCGTAGCATTGCAGAGTATAACTCGGTCTGTACCTTTATTTAATTCGATGCAGATAATATATGCTCAATCAACCAGATAGCAGAACAAGAGGCCTCATTGGATTTTGAAGATCAACATTTTTCTGCACAGGGAGCTGTACCTGTTGTCCAGAGCATCAACACGGACAGTTTTGTGTCTTTTGCTGATCAGGGTGGAGCACAAACAGTTGAAGGAAAGAATGAAAAAAAAATTGAACATTCACCTTCCTATGGTGACAACAGAAGTGCTTACTCATCTGAGGTGGGGTATCCGCTTAATTACTCTCTCCTCAATAAATCTTACATGCTAGCTTGATGTTCTAATATTGTTCTTCATTATAGTGCCCAACAGGTCGAATCTCATTCAAGCTTTACGATTGGAATCCAGCGGAGTTCCCAAGGAGACTGCGGCATCAAGTATTCTCAAAGAATTGTTTATTGCAGTTTAGTGTTCGGAGGACTATAAGTCTACTCTTTTCTGAAACTCTAAGAAACTTATTTTCATGTCTTTAAATGAATTTGCAGATATTCCAATGGTTATCCACCATGCCTGTTGAGTTGGAGAGCTATATCCGTCCTGGATGTACGATTCTAACTGTCTTTATCGCTATGCCGGAGGTTATGTGGGCTAAGGTAAATTTTGTTTCTCTTTATTGTCTTCTCGCATTCCTAAGCTCACCGAAATTTGTATTCTGCTATTTGGGTCTTATTTAGCTTCCTTGTTTTTATGGTTCTTTCATTTCTGTCCCCTCAAGCAGTTATCTAAAGATCCCGTGGCATATTTGGATGAGTTTATTCTTAAACCTGGAAAGATGCTGTTTGGGAGAGGCTCCATGACTGTTTATTTAAACAACATGATTTTCGGTCTTATGAGAGGCAAGTTGACGTGCTCTGCTTTTATCTGTTTTCTTTTTTTCCTTGGTTCCTGTTTTGTCACACATGGCGCGTAGTAATAACTTCGGTCTTTTTTTGTTCCAGTGATATTCTTCTTTTCGCATTCTAAAGTGAGATATCTTTTTGCTGCGGCAGGTGGAAACTCTGTCAAAAGTGTCAATGTAAAAATACAGGCTCCAAGGCTTCAATTTGTGTATCCAACATGTTTTGAAGCTGGAAAACCAATTGAACTTGTCATTTGTGGACGGAACTTGCTGCAACCCAAATTCCGGTATGCAAGTATTTGATCTGTCAACTTATTCTGGCAACTTAGTTTTGCCTCTTGCTCATTGGATGAGGCTAATCATGTGTTGTCAAATTTACGTTCTTGTAAATGTTGCGTATAAATTAGTAGCCACGATATGTCAATGTTGCTTTTCAATTTATGACTGCTGTAGTTTTAAGAGTCGGGAAAGAGAAACATATGGGCGTAAAGAAAATATATTTTGGTTGCAGGTTTCTTGTCTCTTTTTGTGGGAAATACTTACCATACAACTATTCTGTTATATCTCCACCCAACCAGGACGGGAAGAGTTCTCCTTGTTGTTGCAATAAGTTGTACAAGATCAATGTTGTGAATTCTGATCCTAATCTCTTTGGTCCTGCATTTGTTGAGGTACCCATTTTAGAGAATACGCATTTGATAATTGATAGTGTCGATTTTGTATCTATAATGATACCCTCTTACCCTTTTGATGTTTTTGCAGGTTGAGAATGAATCTGGCCTTTCAAATTTCATCCCACTAATTATCGGAGATGAAGCTATTTGCTCCGAAATGAAACTGATAGAACAGAAACTCAATGCCACGCTCTTTCCTGATGGTCAAGTTAGTGCATGCTGCTCTTTTATGTGCTTTTGTGGGGACTTTGAGCAGAGGCAAACTGCGTTTTCCGGTCTCCTGTTGGATATTGCATGGTCGGTTAAGGTGCCCATTTCAGAATGCACCGAACAGAACATGAACCTTTGTCAGATACGAAGATACAATCGGGTGTTGGATTATCTGATACAGAGTAATTCAGCTTCCATCTTGGCGAAAGTGCTGCAAAATATGGAAATTCTGGTGAACAAAATGGAGCCAGACAGTGTCATTCATTGTACCAGTGAAAGAGACGTGAGACTCTTACATGAAAATATGAATCTGGCTAGAGACAACTTCAGAAAATGTTCGAGCCATGAACAATCAACAACAAACTCGGGAAATATTCCTCCTTCATCAAATCGTAGCTGCGGCTGCGGCTGGGGCC